GCGTGGCTACAAGGTATGCCGAAATCAGGCGTACTTTATAGCCACAAACCGTGGCTACAAGGTATGCCGAAATCAGGGGTACTTTATAGCCACAAAACCGTGGCTACAAGGTATGCCGAAATCAGGGGTACTTTGTAGCCACAAAACCGTGGCTGCAAGGTATGCCGAAATCAGGCGTACTTTATAGCCACAAACCGTGGCTGCAAGGTATGCCGAAATCAGGCGTACTTTATAGCCACAAACCGTGGCTGCAAGGTATGCCGAAATCAGGCGTACTTTATAGCCACAAACCGTGGCTGCAAGGTATGCCGAAATCTGGGGTACTTTGTAGCCACAAACCGTGGCTACAAGGTATGCCGAAAACAGGGGTACTTTATAGCCACAAAACTGTGGCTACAAGGTATGCCGAAATCTGGGGTACTTTATAGCCACAAACCGTGGCTACAAGGTATGCCGAAATCTGGGGTACTTTGTAGCCGCAAACCGTGGCTACAAGGTATGTCGAAATCTGGGGTACTTTATAACCACAAAACCGTGGCTACAAGGTATGCCGAAATCTGGGGTACTTTATAACCACAAAACCGTGGCTACAAGGTATGCCGAAATCAGGCGTACTTTATGTGGCTACAAAGCCGTGGCTACAAGGTATGCCGAAATCAGGCGTACTTTATAGCCACAAAACCGTGGCTGCAAGGTATGCCGAAATCAGGGGTACTTTATGTGGCTACAAACCGTGGCTACAAGGTATGCCGAAATCAGGGGTACTTTATAGCCACAAACCGTGGCTGCAAGGTATGCCGAAATCAGGGGTACTTTATGTGGCTGCAAGGTATGCCGAAATCAGGAGTATTTTATAGCCACAAACCGTGGCTACAAGGTATGCCGAAATCAGGCGTACTTTATGTGACTGCAAGGTATGCCGAAATCAGGAGTACTTTATAGCCACAAACGGTGGGTACAAGGTATGCCGAAATCAGGGGTACTTTATAACCACAAAACTGTGGCTACAAGGTATGCCGAAATCAAGGGTACTTTGTAGCCACAAACCGTAATTGATGACATGCTGTTATTTTTCAGATGTGTTGAATGGGTACCGAAAGTCTGTTGTGATACATCCAAATGAAATTCCTGATTGTCTTTTGAAAGATGGTGAGTTGATGCAATAGTTCCTCTTATAATGTTAACTAAATACGAGTATACAACGACTAAATACGATTATAATATGGCATTTGTAAATTCTGAACGCCGATGGCTAAGAGCCGTGTTGATATAACTCAATGTCAACACGGAAATTTTTTTCTTTATATTTTTTTGTGCTACATTATAAAAAAACAAAAATATTTTTTTCGTATTGATATACAGTTATATCAACACTCATAGAAATTGGGAAAACTCGAAATTGTGCGAAAACACTCCGCCCTCGGGGCGTCCTTTTTCCACCCAATTTCGAGTTTTACCAATTTCCACTCGTGTTGATATAACTGTATATGAACACGGAAAATAGTTTATAGTTGTTAAGTATACAACGACTAGAATAATTATAAGTGTTGGTGGTCGATGCTTGAAAATCGTTTCCTGCAATGTGCATTACCGAATAGAATTAGGGTAAGATGAGATGCGAGTGCTATTTTCCAGAACTCGAGTTTTCTGTCGTGCACAAAAAAAAATCTCACAACTTGTCAACAAGATGTGTTCGCAACAGGCTTGTAGCAAGCTTGTCAACAAGTTATAACAATGCCGTTATTTCATCAAATTGCTACAAGGTTGCCACTCACAACTTGTTGACAAATTGTTGAATTGCAGGACGACAACAAGTTGTTGCCTGTTGGAACAACTTGTAACACGTCTGTTGAGCTCAACAACCTTTTAGCAAGTTGTGAGCAAACAGTGCGAACACATTCTGTTGACAAGTTGTTGGAACAGCATTGCTACAAGTCTGCTTCAGGTTTGTTACAACTTGTGGCATGCGTTTCTACGTGTGTAGAACACGCGTAAAAATCTCGCATCTTGTAGCAAGTCTGCCAACAAGCCGTCAACAAGTTGTGTTCGCACTGCTTGTCCCGAGTTGTCAACAAGTTTGGAACAAGCTGTTAACAACTTGTAACAACCTTGTTGATATTATCAGGATTGTTACAAGGTTGTTCCAACAAGTCCGTTACAGTCATGATATAACAGTATTGTTACAACCTTGTGTCGTCAACCTTGTAACAGTCTTGTTATATCATGACTGTATCAGACTTGTTAACAGCTTGTTCCAAACTTGTTCCAACAACTGGGAACAACCAGTGCGAACAAAACTTGTCGACAGCTTGTGAGCAGACGTGTAACAACTTGTTTGCAGACCTGTAACAACTTGTGCGTTTTTACGTGTGTAACTCAAGATCATTGCGCATTTGCGCTGTAGAACTGATTAGAATTGATAAAGCTACCCATCACAAATAAAGCCCACAAATATTGCCCCTCTGCGCGGCCCTGTATTAAGTTAAACGTTGTCGTTTAGATCTGTTGGACGAAATTGCAGACCAACTAGGCACAAGATGGCCGCGGTTAGCACGCAAGCTGGATCTTTCGTCCAGGGTAGGCAGCATCAAGGAGGATCACCGTGGCGATACCCACGAACAGGCTGTTGAGATGCTAACTAATTGGAAGCGAAGACTTGGCAGGGATGCAAAAATTGAAATAATCGTTGAAGCTTTGAGAGAAATCGGTTTCAATGACATTGCTGATTTCATCGTGAGTCGGTGTCAAGGTGTGCCTGTGGAGAATTCTAGCAATACAGTGAACAACTCTGAAGGAAATGCAGTTAATGAAGTAACTAAAGCCCCAGTCAAAGAGGATGGGAGTTCATGAGACTTGGCAGTCACGTATTGGTAGGGGAGGTGGGAGGGACATTTCAAAATGGCTTGACGAGTGTTCCAACTATGTTTTAACTTAAGTAGAATATATGATCGTGTTGGCATTAAGAACAGCTAACCAAGATCGCATAACCTCGTTTGATCCCGGCTTTAAGAAGTGAGAGTTTGCATCAGAGTTTTCTCCACTCTCGTGCCTCGGTCAAACGAGAACAAGAGTTCCACGAGAGTTGATGAGATGAAAGTTGACTGCATCTAACATTTTGCATCAGTTTGATCATCTGATTATCAATTTCCCGTTTGTAATACCAAATGACTGAAAAACGGCAAACTTCGCAAGGCTATATTATACGCATTTTACAACATTTCGCAACGAAACTTCGGAATATTACTAATTTTGTGATGCTCTTTCAATCTGTGATGAAATTTTTGTCCAGACTTGTATAGATCAAAATTTCACTCAAAAGGGGAAAGGTCTATTCGGTTGGTTTTATCTTGGGTTTTATATATTCTAACCAGCCTCCATGTGGGTTTAGCCTGCGAATGGGTATTATATTAACACGAGCGGGAATGCTTTATCGGAGAGGCGACAGCCAGTTGTTTTATATTTGATAAAAAAACATGGACTAAGAATTTTAAATGGCTAAAAGGACATATGACTCGAAAATTGACGTTGTTATTTTTTAATGTAATTTGAAAGATCATTGAAAACTGTAGAGTAACTTCTTTGATAGATTTTTGTTTTCTTGCTTCGTTTTGAAGATATTTCATTTTGTATGATATGCAAAGACCAACTTTCTACGTCACATGCATAATGTGTTACATAAATATAATTGTTACATAAATATAATTTTGTCACTCACGAGATTTGTCATTTCGACAACAATACCAATGTAGGGCTTTTACTGATTGTGTTTACTCGCCATTAAAGTGCACATGACATGAAATTTCTTATTTTCTTAAATGAAGGAACTCTTTAAGCTGTAGTGTAACTTATTTTTCAGTTTCTTGTTTTTATGGTTTGTTCCCGAGATATTTCAATTTGTTTAATATGTAAATGAGTGTGAATATGTCCGCTAATTTATGACGTCATGTTGGTTGCAAGCTCTTCAAAATGGTTGAATATCACTGCTATCATCCAAGATGATAATTTCAAACTTCACTCACTGGCAAATGTGATGAAACACTGTAGAAAAACGTGAACAGATGTCTACAGTTTTTAGAGTTAATAGATTTATAACCAGTGTAAGTTGAGCTTGCAACCAACGTGACGTCATAAATTAGCATATTCACATCATTTACATATCAAACAAATTGAAATATCTCGGGGAACAAACCATAAAAACAAGAAACTGAAAAATAAGTTACACTACAGCTTAAAGAGTTCTTTCGTTTAAGAAAATAAGAAATTTCATGTCATATGCACTTTAAAGATATACAGCTTTTAGGGCTAAATCATTATGCTTTATGTGATCGTACAAAATGAAATATCTCCGAAGCGAAGCAAGAAAACAAAAACCTGTCAAAGAAGTTACTCTACAGTTTTCAATGATCCTTCACATTAGATAAAAAATAACGTTATCAAAGCTAAAACCTGGTTTCCATATGATCGTAATTAGAATGTTAGGGTTTGTAATCCAAGTGAGTATATATACATTTTAAGACCTAACCAGGAACGCCTGCGAAAAGTGCAGCACAAGGTCCTCTGGTAGGAATTGAACCTACGGCCCTGCGATTCCGGTGCAGTTTATATTAAATAGTTTATACCTGCAAAGCACGTATAAATCATGAGTATTCTCTAGTTTTTATCACTCCGCGTATTTTCAAAATGTTGTATTTCGGCTGATGAGAAAGATCGTGACTCAATCTTTGCGACCGTTACGACCATATGGAAGTCAGGCTTGAAGATGAACGTAAATTTATAACGACTTTTTTATCATATGCAAAATCACAGTGATTTTCTCGGTTTTTCTATCGTGAATAGACAACTTGCATGTTAGACAAATTTTTGATTTAGGCAAAAAAAAGTAAATTCCCGTAAAGAACTTATTAAAATCAGTAAAATTGCAAAATTTGGTTGCGAAATGTTGTAAAATGCAGAAAATATAGCCTTGCGAAGTTTGCAATTTTCAGTCATTTTGTATTACGTGCGAAAATTGTTACCATTTTCGAGCCGAAAATGGTAACAATTTCCGCACGTAATACAAATATACTGAAAATTGCAAACTTCGCAAGGCTATATTTTCTTCATTTTACAACATTTCGCAACCAAATTTTGCAATTTTACTAATTTCATTATTTTCTTTTTAACTGTTGTGTTTTATTCCCTTCTCTTTACTTAGATTAAAATTTAGTCTAACATGCAAGTTGTCCATTATTAATGAGTTTTTTTAACCTCATTTATACGTTACAATTAGAATTTTATGCAAATATTATGTCCAAAAAAGAAAATAAATTTTTATGTAACTGTGAGTGTTTGTTTTGATTAACGAGCGGTTGCAAAGTTTTTGTCTGCGAGTGTTCATCGTTGCTGCAAACGACGGCAAAGACACGCGGGCGGGAAATTCGGGAGTATTTTGCGGGTGGGCAGGCAATATTTCCCGCCCTTACCCGCGAGAATTCAAGATTCGAAGAGGAAGGCAAAATGGCGGCCAGTTTGCATCGTACGCTTTGCGAGGTTAAAGGCGAAGTGAAGTTGCAAGCAACGAATACGATTTCGCGAGTGGTTAAACAACAGCCAGGAAAGTTACGATTGAGCCAGTTAGGAGATTCCTTTTATATACAATGTGTGTATGATAATGGCGTGAAACCGAGTAAAAAATATAAGGTTTGTCGGAAATTTAGTTGTCATTGTCATATTTGTACATATAAATATATTTTGTGTTTATTTAGATATGTATTTATATATTGAATGAATAGTGTGAATTAGTGCAGTGAACAGTGATTCTTTACTCATTTTTTATCATTCGTAGACCTGGAGCAAGGGGGATTGATTTGATGATATATATTTTTAGGAAATATCACATTGTCACCGAATCCCCCGAGCGGAGGGTCTATATTAAATGATACATTAATATACCGAAAGTTAAATTTGTGGTTTGCCCCCAAAGCGATGCTCTCACCAGTCTCAAAATTGGTACAGTCAGTCTCAAAATTAAGCACTGTATATTAAATCAAATATATGCAATGCTATTTATAAGGGAGACCGTCTAAAATTTAGGAGCTGTTTATATGGGGCAGGCTACCCCGGGTACCCAAGCTGGCCTGGTTTAGGCAAGATCCCATGTCTGTTATTATTAAATTGTTCGGACTTCGGATCTGGCGAATATTTAACAAGGATTTGCGGATCTTGTTAATACAGCAGATTGCGGATTTATCCAATATTTTGGCTCGGATTGTGGATTTAACTTGCAATTTAGTTGGATCCTGGATTGTGACTTCATGGTAGAGCTTTTAGCGGATTCAAATTTACACAAGACCATTGTCGGATCACAGATTTTGCTTCAAATTTTGATGGATCTGTATACCCCTATTCACCCCCCCCCAATAACATTGATTCAACATTATTTGTGGCAACATGACATGGCTCCTAAGCAAGATCTCGACTGACCTGAGATCTCTGGTGATCGGGCCAGTAATTTCCCAAATAAATGCAAATATATTATGCCGTGTTCACACAAATATACGACATTTTTTCGACCAATTTCGATCTTAAAACATCTCTGAGACATCTGTGAATGATTCTGTGGGTTATTTCCATGAAAGTTGCTTGCAAAAGTGTAAATTTCAGGTTCGTGAAAAAATATATTTGTATTATACTATTTATAGTGGTGGGACCAGTGGTTTATTTTGGTGAGCCAACTTGCCTCAAAAGTCTTGTGTAAACATGGGATGATTTTTTTTTAAATTTTATTTTATTCAGCTTTGCAAACTAGGGCAGGGTCACCACAACAGTATATGCCAATTACTGCGGGCCCTTTTACCTAACCCACCCTGTCAACTTTCCCTGTGGGAGGAAAACCCACGACTTTCGGCAGAGCATTGATTTTTACTCTTTCCACATGAAGACTGGGTTCAAGTTGCATTGAGAAAGTTCTCACCGAGGCTTGAACCTGCGGCCTTAGAGGTGAAAGGCAAGTGTGCTAACCACTTGGCCACTGAAGCCCCTAACAGATCAGCAAAGCGAGCTCAGGTGGTCTACATGGAATCACCAGCCAGTGATGGGTCAGTCTCATTTTGGGACTACGCCCCTGTATGTTTGCTCTTTAAACCTCTTTTGAACATTTTTTGAACAAATATGAAATGTTTATCAGTTTTTTTTATTTATCTTTGGTTTTTAGTTGGACCGAAAACAAGTGGCTGAAGCCCAGCTGATTGCAAGGGATGGAAAACTGACTGTTTACCTAACAGGTGGTTGTGCCCGTTTTCACCTCGAAAAGGGCATCGAAAATGAAATTGAAACATTCATATGTTGCTTGGATGAGATAAAAAGAACAGGTTACCTTTGGGAAAAGCTGTATTTATATATCACTGTACTTGTAATTAGGGGTGCACCGGATTTGAAATCCGGCCGGATTTAACAAATTTTCCGGTATCCGGCCGGATTTGGAGAAAATCCGGCCGGATTAAAATTTCAGTTTTCACCTTAAAAAATTCACCAAGAATGGGATAAACCATCAATTTGGCAGCTTTAAAGTTTAAAAAACATTTATATTATTATAAAATATTAAGTTATTAACAAAAAGATATTTAAAAAAGGTTTAAACACAATCAAAAATCTAAACTAACACTAACTAAAAATAGTAAAAAACATAAACCGCCATTTTGAATACTGATTTATCCCCAATTGTCCCCATTACCAGTTTATTTGTCCAAATCCGGTAAATCCGGTTCCGGCCGGATTTGAAAATTCCAAATCCGGTGCACCCCTACTTGTAATGGAAATTTTTTTGTTTTTTTCCCAGTGGGCAGGGGGCTTGGATTTGTAAGAAATGTTTGTTTCCCTCAAACATTTAATTAGCATTTACACATGCAAAATTCTTACTGTGATCACTGAAACTTTGATAGCGTAAACCAATCTTAATTGAGATTGACGTTTACGGCTAACAGCAAACGACTAATTTCAAGTTGGGTCAACAATTAGCTGTTCGAAGTTAGCATGTTTGAAGCATGGATTAGCTAAAACGTCCTCAGCTATTTCGTGTAAAAACTTGTCGAAAACGTGTAGAACTTAAATTAAGGTGCTGTTACACTAAGCAACTTGTCTCGGAACTTGTCCCGCAATGTTATAAGAAAAACGGTTTCAGGATTGCATTGCAAGGTATGTTACACCAAGCCATATGTTCCATGCAACTTGCAATGATCATTATTAAAAATAGTATAAAACCGCGAGTGCTAACGTTTCGCGCCATATTATCGGTCAAAAGCCAATAGGAAGCCATTCAGGGTATAAAGACTATAAACATTGCGAGACTAGTTGCAAGAGGGATGTTAAACTGTGCAATGCTTTAAAAATGCGTTGCCACAATCGTTGCAAAAAGTAGAACCTGATTCTACTTCGTGCAATGGTTGTTGCAACAAAAATATTGCGATTGCGAGACTTGTTGATTACGAGGCATGATACCCCTTGCAATTTCGTGTGCAACTTGTGTCACAACAAAATTGCGAGACAAATTGCATAGTGTGACAGCGCCTTTACCTTCAAATGCAATTTTAAGTTTGTGGTTGGCAGTCTGCCGTAAACATCTCTCTAGATGCACAAGAGAAACTATTTTTTTACAGTGTTGACGTTATTATTTATAGTGCTGACTAAAGCCGCTGTCAAATATGAAATATCCAACATTTCACCAATACCAAGGGTAGACACACTTTTCGGATCAAAGGAAGCGGCCATCAAGCCACCAACCTTAGTTCTAAGGCGCCAAGGTACGTATGTCATCACTATCACCAAGCTTACGTCTTGGTCAAACAAGAGTTTTCTCAACTCTCGTGGCCCTGTCAAACGAGAAAAACAGTTCCATGAGAGTTGACTGGATATTACCACGCGTAACGGCAGGGTGCGATAATTCAATTTTTTAGCCGTACCTGACTGGTACTCCGACAACTTTTGCCGCGTACCTGATCTGGTACAAACTTAAGAGTCAAGACGTACCTAAGACTACTTCCGAGTCATGCGTTTTTAGACCTACGTATAGTTACAGATCCAAAAGCAAAAAATGTATGGGCCATTTTATACAAATGAATCTTTAACTATATGGTATTTGTAGAACATAGCATAACAGTTTTCAAAGCGTCGACGTTGTGACTCGAATGCCATCGCTCATTTACAGTGGACTTACCAAGGGTGCTAACAGTCCGACCTCAACTACATACATGCAGTGTAGTTTTCCTCATTGGTCAATCATGTTGAAGAAATAATAGGGTGGGCAGAAACGGAAAACCGTAACCACAGGTATTTTTTTTAGGCCTTGGTATAGCATTGACAATTAAGCCCAGGTCACACCACACAACGATAACGATACGATAACTTGTAAACACGCGATGATTGGTAAAAAAAATATGTTGGTGTCCACACTACAACGAAAACGATAAAATTATCGGCGTTTGACGATAACGATTTTAAAATCAAAAGTTGTTTTTTTTTCAGTAGGACGATGACGATAAATTTTTTGATCAAGCGCAAAGATATGTTGTATATGTCGGATGCGTGGAATTTACATGTACTGTACAGCTAAAGTTCTTCACGCTTTTGAATACTTTGGCAGGTTTGCTGGTTATTGCTAGAAGGAAAATGTACAGTAAGTACGCGAATAGCAAATTTCCGCGTACCTACGTGGTACTGTACTTGCCTAAAAACAAAGAAGTACCAGACCATAAATTTGGCGTATCTCCGGTACGTTGGTACGCGAATTATCGCACCCTGGGGCCGTAACGAAAACTCTCATCGCCTCTCATCAAAATGTGTCTCTGTATTCATTGAAATATTCATTGCTGTTTTCTCCAAAATTTATTGTTCTCCATGTAAAGGTGCTTCCAGAACACCACAGAAAACGAACGCATCCAAAGAACAATCTAAGCTGATGTCACAAACCCCGAACAAAGCACCCGAGCAGGTGCTAAAACTAACAGCACAGCATGAAAATCGTCAACAAACCCCAGACAAAATACCACGCGAAACCTTTTCTCAACACCAAGTCAAAGCGGTGCAAAAGCTAATAGCACAGCAAGGAAATCGTCAACAAACCCCAGACGGAACACCACGCGAAAACTTGTCTCAAAACCAAGCCAAAGCGTTGCAAAAGCTAACAGCACAGCAAGGAAATCGTCAACAAACTCCGAACAAAATACCACGTGAAAACTTGTCTCAAAACCAAGCCAAACCGGTTCAGAAGCTAGCAGCACAGCAAGGGGATCGTGAACAAACACCAGACAAAACGTCACTAAGAAATACGTCCTTCCACGAAGGCAAAAGTCAGTGTAGGAAGTCACTAGGAGACAATTCTCAACAAACCCTAAACAAAACACCAACATCAATACCCAAACTTTGCTCACACCCTCGTAACCAACAGAAACAAAGAATGAACGGTCAGAAAGAGGTAAGAGCTCTACAGGTACTATACTCAATATTATTATCTTATATCACAAATAAATTTCCTTTTTGATACTGTGGCTAAAAACTCACGACTTTTCCAGGTGCAAATTCCCAGACAATAGCTTTGACCATGTACTAGTCAATAGAAGGTTAGGGAACTCGATGAAGACATAATAGACGTCATTATCTATGTTTTTGTCTTAGTCTTAATGCAAGAAATGGTCGGTTCATCGTCACGTGTGTATTGTATTTTCGCCCAACCAACCAATAGCGGTGTGTTGGTTTTATTACCCAGTCGTGATATTACACAATGGTTAAATGAAAATATAACTATTGATTGCTCGCGCGAAAATACAATACACACGTGACGATGATGAACCGACCATTTCTTGCACAAAGCAAAACAAAAACATAGATAATGAGGTATTATGTCTGCATCGAGTTCTCTAACCTTCTTATTCTATTGATTATGCTGTTGACCACTGTGGGACTAGGTAAAAATCCTATTCGAGAAATAGCAAGTAAGTAAGTAACTAAGTTGGGTGTGCTAATCATCCTTGGCTTGCTTGCAGTTGAGAGCTAAGCTGAATTACGAGGGACGCAGCTCAACCTGATCCAGTCGAAGGCTTTCTAAGGGCGCCTATATGGCAGTCACCTTTATATGACTCATGTCTCATCACGGAGGACAGCTACAATGGAAGGGTCAGTTAGGGATTCCTCTTGGATGAAACAGGCTGTTGTGGCAAGCTTTTGAGTTTTGAGATAAAACTGCTTTTTCTATTGTACTTTCTTTTCGTTCCAGGATGACTTAGAGAAAGAAAATATCAATATCTTCTTTGGAACACCTGAGAAGCAAAGACCTTCTGAAAATCAATCTGACTCACAATCGTCCACGTTTGGAACACCGCGGAAAAAGACGCCTTTGCAAGAGAATGAAAGTATGCAGTTTGACCATAGATATCTTATATACACTAGATAGTGCATCTAATTATTCTGCAATTCAAAAATTGAAGCCGTGATTGCAGACTCAGGATATTCCCATGAAATGAGAAGACTCGTATGTTTTCTATTTCTTAAACAGGGAACTTAAACATTAAGTTAAACCTATTCCAAATACATTTTCAAACTATTCAAATGATGAAAGTTATTGTTGTTTTTTAAGCGTTTATTAGCGAGTGGGAAACTTCAACATGGCCGCCATCTATTCAAATGGGGGTAACCGCTGGCATATTCTTGGCTTCTGAATTTTACTAAAAGAGATGCGCCATCTAGTGTATATAAGATATCTATGAGTTTGACTCATTAGAAAAGAATTGCATGAACACGTTAACATGTTAAAAGTCAGGGTGCGATCGCGTACTTACGTACAGGAAGTACACTGCGGCAAGGGTGGGTTGACTACAAAATTTTTGTAGTTCGCTATAACTACAGCTACTTCAAAAATATGTAGTCAGCTACAACTACTGCTACTTTTGAACAAAGGTAGTTCGCTACTGACTACAGCTACTGCTTAAAAAATGTAGCGAACTATTTCGCTATTTCGCTACGCTATATTTTTTAGTTTTACTGTATTTCGAGCATCTACTAACTCAGGCTGTAATGTAACCTATAACAAATCGACTTACGAGTAGCAACAGTAAGCACAAAGCAACATTTTTGTAAGCACTACAGTGTTCAGGAGTGCAAATTGACTATTGAGTATTGATATTACCTCAATATCATGCTATTCTATCAAGTTGCTAACAATTTTAAAAAGTAGCGAATAGCGATTCGCTGTTTGAAAAGTAGTCAACTACTTGGCTATTTTTAGGCAAAATGTAGTTCGCTATAACTACAACTACTGTTTTAATAAAGTAGTCAAAAACTACTGGCTACTTGAAAATTGTAGTTCGCTACAGTAGCGAACTACAACTACTTCGCTACTACCCACCCTTGCACTGCGGGGCACGAAATAACGACCGATGAACGATCAATGATCGGCAGGAAATTACTTTTGAGTGAAGCAAGGTTGCCGATCATCTTGATCGGCAAGAACCATCGTCTCAAAAACATGGTTAATGTTGTTAAGAGGAGTATTTTTGTATGTTACGTAACACGCACTCAAAACTAATGCGTATAATATACCACTCGCGGTTATGACTAAATTCAAAATTTTATTTTTCGATACGTTTCTCAATCGGCAAACAAACTTAAAAAGCATGTTTAGTGCTTTATCTGTAAAATAATGCTAAAATGAAGAGATTTTAGATGATACGCCAAAGAGAAAATGATGTCTGAAGTTCAGCAAGTTTTGCTTATATGTCTGTAAATTTGGCGTCAATTTTAAAGCATTATTGATAATTGTATTTTAATTGACAATTTTTAACTATTATTTTATGTTTCTCAACCGGCAGATGCATTTAAAAAGGTAGCTAACACTATAAACTAGAGAATAAAGCTAAAACAAAGTAATTTTGAGAGGAACGCCAAAAAGATTTTAGGTTTTGAACACTTTTCATTGCAAATACGTGGCATTGAAAAAAAATTCCTCTTAATGAACACCATGTAATACTATGGCATTATCACAGAACATATAAACAGAACGTATCCAGTACTGATCAGCCAGATTTTCATTTGATCAACAGAAAATCATGACTGCTGAGGTTTGGTATTTCTTTCTTTTCATGTTCCTTTCATTTTTCTTAATTTATTGTTGTTGTTTTTTCAGCTTCTCCACAACTTAGCCGATCTACCAACGTCAAAGTTTTCTATGGGAACAATAGTAATAATAGGTTTGTAAAAAATTACAGTAATAATAATATTAAGACTTTATTTATTGAGGATAAACAGATAAAGTTACGCCTCAAAAGAGGTGCATTTTTCTGCACGTAATACTAAAATACTCAAATTTTGCTAATTTCACAGGGCTATATATTCCGTATTTTACGCCATTTTGCAACCAAATTTGGCAATTTTACTAATTTAAGGATGTTCTTTTAAGCTATAATGATATAGATTTCGTCGTCCTTGTATAGAGGTATTACGTAAAGGTCTTTTACATTATCTGACATAACTGACATAACGTTCTTATAGCTCTAACCCTCGGTAACTAGCGAGGGCGTCTGCGAGGGAGACTAGGTGTATTGGTGAAATGCAAAAATTGCGCCGGAGTGTAAACGGGCATTTAGGGAGCGGTCATTATTTATGGCTAGGGGGGGGAGGCACCGAATGCAGGGGTAGATTTATGTGGGTGCACACCCCTGTTGGCCTTGGTCAACAGTGGTGCAAGGGGGGTGCAATAAAATCAAATTCAGAAATATGGTATAATTTCCAAGGTTTTTCCTTTTTTGAAGCCAAACTGAAGCTCATAATTCAATGCCCATATCGCAGGAAATGGCATTTCTAGGGTTCTAATTTTCAATATTTTCCGGGGAACCCGAACCCCATAGAGAGCTCGCGCCTTTGGCGCTTGAGTCGTTAGGAGGCCAATTCATTTGAAAGCTCTCCCACTACCCCCAAAGAATTATAAAGAAACACTCGGCTGCTCACCCAGCACCCCCCTAGAAAAACCTTGCTGGATCCACCCCTGACCAAATGGGAAATACCCACCCCTTAATAATTTTTTATCACCCAGCCTTTGAGTTGTTGTTTTTTCTTCTCATTTACCCAACCTTTTACTCACTCAAGATTTTACCTAACCCTTTTCTCTTCGGCGGAAAATCTTTTTTGAACAATCCTAACCTTACTACCTCAGACTGCCTTAAATAAGGACCGACCGATCCCTTATCTCACTTTCCAGCATCCGAGTGAAACGAATTCCAAAGAGGCCATTGAGAAATGCTTCATCATCGTCACCCTCGCAAACTCCGAGATATTCGTTATTTTCCACCACTCCAACTGCAACCAGAAACATTCAAACACAAAACAAAGCGTCCAGCGGCGATCAACACAACGTCAAGCAGTCAACACTCTTTGCATATCTTGCTGACAATGAAGTCACATCACAAGGGTAAATATTCGAATCCTTTTTGTAAAGTAAATGGTAAAAATCGTGATGATAATGTGAATTGTGAAATCATTTTTGAACACTCCTAACCTTAAGCCTTTGGCAAACTAGGAAACATTGTTTCCTATCAATGTTTCGCCATGTTTCCAAGAGTGGGCAAACACTAGGAAACATTAGTGAGAAACATAGGGAAACATCAAATGTTTCTGAATTCGCTAGGAAACATTTTTGTTTCTCGGGAAGCAAATTTTGTTTCCGCAACAATGTTCCCACGGGTGGGCAAACAGGGAAACATCGAGAATCACAAAATGTTTCCACAACAATGTTTCCTAGTTTGCCAAGGGCTTTATACTAGCTACTGTTCTTGTATACAGTAAGACCCCGCGTATAAGAACCTAGTCCTAGATTTTAAGAACCTGTTAGGCTAAAATTACTTATCAGTTAGCCCCCCTTTATACAAGAACCTGTTCAGGCTAAAATTTCAAACGGGTTCTTATTTTATTTTTATCACTCTAAGAGTTGAAACTAAAAATTTATAAATCAAAGAAAACAAACTCTTCACAAAGTAATGAAAATGACCCAGAAGCATTGAACTAAAAATAACTGGAACGATACCTCCAACCGGAAATGTGAAGCCATGCCCAGGCATGCCCACTGTTGTCATGCCCAGTCTTTTCACGTAACGGAAAAACGCGGGTTTTTTAAATTTTCACAACTGGGTAAAAAATATGCACTAAAACATCGTTTAAAACGACTTAAAATGCACCTGACAGTACATTTTTTACAATAAAAAAATCCTTCAAAACTCTAGAGTAAAATATTTTTAATTTGTTTGTGTAGAAATCGTAATTAAATTTTCTTTTTTGAGAAAAAACGTCGAGCGAGGAGTGGAGCTTGCCGTGGTCTAATCATATAAAGTGTGAAATATTTGTGTGAAATTCCCTATTTTGCACGTTCGTTTTCCAATTTATTCGTCTGAAAGTTAGGAAAAAGGTATTCTAACAAGATCAAACTACCATCCACAGTTTAATTATGTTTTGTAGTAGAGTATTTATTAAGTTTTAGAAGTACAAAATAACAAATATAAACATTAAAGTTTTTTTTCGCGGATAAGTATTTCATGTTGCGATTATTCACATTCGGCAAGAAATACAAAGAAAAAGTGGTCAACGAAGGCAAACAAAGTGATAGATACAGACTTGTCTTGTTTAACAATCAATGAAGTTGTTATAAATACATATTTAATACGTTTATAAGATAAAGAATTACTTATCTTTCTCAAGTGTCATCTGCATATAAACGTTCCAGTCATTCAAATATGCACTTGTTGTCTCCAATCGGTTAGTTTCGTCCTTGCAATTTTAGTCGGTAGGGTTCAAGATATGTTTTAAATGCACTTCTAATACAAAAATATAGCTTAAAACCCTAAATAAACGACAATTTTCGACCCATTCGCCCAAGAAAAAACATTCAAGTCACTGCCGAAATGGTCTCGCGAGAATGTCTCGCAACACAAACGCGCGTGTCTGGAGGTAGAACACGCGCGGCTGGAGGTAAAATTTGGCTTCATCCGATCATAAGCCAAACCTATTGGAGGTAGCGTTCCAGGTATTTTTAGTTCACTGCCCAGAAGTCAGAATCCTGCATGGATATGTCATAACATAATCTGCGAAGCTGCTTTAAATTCCCAAGAGCAGAAGATCGTGCGCTTTAGCCTATAAAGATATTTTAATTTCTCAATAAGTCCGTATTCATAATATATGCACACTGTCAATATTTTACGCATCTTTGCGTTCAGATTAGTGCTAGGGCATTCAAATTCTATAACAATACGTTATTTCAATAGTTTTTTTTTTTTTGGGACACCCTGTATTGTACAGGGTGTATAAAAAAACGCAACCTCGGAATTTCCCAAGAAATCGACATTGTTTTAAGGACAAAAGATTTTAGGTCGCGGGCTATGATTTTAGCGGGCTATGATGGATGCAAGAAAACTGTCTGATATTATTTCTCTATTCTTGTAGGTTTACAAATCTTGGTAATACTTGCTATATGAACGCCATATTACAATCCATCCTTGGCCTTGTCCCGTTTGTGCAAGAACTTGATAATAATGATTTGCTAAATACTGTTGGTCGCCTATCCTTGTACAAGTAAGAATTTATATCAACATAAATAGATAGATGGATATAGCTCTATCAGTTCTAACCCTGGTACACGAGACAAACTTCTTAAACTCTTTCCAAGCGGCAAGCTTCTTATTTCCACCGTATATCAGGTTTCGTACAAAATTTGAATGTCCTTGAATTTGAAAACAGAAATTCAAGGTCTTGAATGTCCTTGAATTTGTAAAGAAGTACTTGAACGTCCTTAAATTTTTCTTGCTTTATAAAGGCCGTTGACCAATACATTTCCTTTAGTTGTATGTACAATCTGTTCCGATGGAAAAACGACGATGGAAGCAGTACAAGGAAGAAAAATGCTCTGAAAAGGTTGAAAAATTCACTGAACGGCAGTGAGATGACGAAACGGTTTAGTGGATATCTACAGAATGTAAGTGCCAAGCAAGCTCACTAGATTATTAATGGCTGAATGTTTGTGGTTGAAAATGTTGCCTATTTGTGCAGAAAATTTTGAAATCTAGAGTTTCTAGAATGACATTTCCAGCTTCTATGGATTAAGATTTCATATGCGGAAACCATGTTGTTTTGTCCATTTCTCGTTCAGACACCCTCATTTTAGGTTCTCCCGATCTCATCTTTCATTGGGGGAATTAGCCCCTACCCTTCAACTTTTAGGGGGATTATAACCCCTCTATTCCCTCCCCTGTGTCCGCGTTTATGGGTATCTGTGACAAGGGCACGTCGTTGACTCTGTGTTCTTTTTAGGACGCGCACGAGTTCATGAATATCTGTCTTGACCAAATGAAGGAGGAAGTCCAGGAAGCTTTGGGGGAGAAATCTGAAGATATCGCAGCTAAGGTATTTATAGAGCTATTGTAGTAGTGGTAGTAGATTTATTCAACCTCCCCGTAGGGCTTTTCAGGTTTAAATTACAACTTACATTACATCTTGAAATTTACAATATAAAAAGCGAATATCTATTATAAGTTAGTAAAAAAAAATTAAAATGTTAAAAGTACATTAAGAACCATGTACATCATAAAATCTAAGAATAAGTTCCTTTCAAAGCTGAAACGTTTGAAAACTTTTCATGAAGACGTTTCTTCCCTGCTTTCTTAAATTGGGGTAAACATTTTAACTTTCAAACCCACTTTTGTTTTTCAGGTTTGTCCTGTGGTCAGGAACTTTGAAGGATCTCTAAGAAAATACATCAAGTGTAAAGGGTAAGCCTATAATATTTTCTCATAAAGCCAGTTTAGGTCATACAAAAATAATTTTCCCGACTAACATAAGCATATTCAAAAATTTTCGACCAAGATAAGCAAGGCTTTCAAATTTTTTCACCGCAAACATAACAAAAGCTTTAAAATTGTTAAAATTGCCAACCATTTCATAACTTTGAGCAACTTCGACCATATTTTATCCCAAACTTTGACCAAATTTTCCTAGTTTTACCTTCAATTTTAAGCAAATATCAATTCCATTTTGACCAACTTTGGGCAAATACCAGTTCCATTTTGACCAACTTTGACCAAAGTTTGAGTTATTGAGGGGGGGGGAGGGGGTGTAACACCCCCCCTCCCCTATAGCGACGACCCTGTCTCCAGCTATTCAAAAACAGCAATGACACTCAAGAGAAGCTCAGATTGAACTTCCACTCATTGAGTGTGAGTGAGCTTTTAGAATACGGGCGATAGTGTTTTTCCATCTTGGAGAATTCCCTGTACTTGTATTTCGTTACATATTTGAGAAATCTTTTGTTTTCTCGACAGATGCAAAGACGTTGTGACGAAAGATGAACTGTTCAACCATTTGTCCCTAAACATCCCTCATAATCAATCGTAAGTTGAATAGCTGATCAGTGTTTGAACTTTGAAAGAACAGCCGGTCAACAGGCATTGTCCGGTCAGTATAGACAATTCCCATTATAGACTAATTTTTATCTTGGCCAAAAAAGTATAACTAAAAGTCTATAACCACATTTGGGCCGAAAATGGTAGCAATTTCCGCACGCAATACAAAAGAAAGCAAAATTTGCAAACTTTGCACGGGAAATTTTTTACTAAACTACAGTGAGTCTGTCATAATATTATTGTGTTTTTTTTTTCTTACAGACGTTCGCCCACAAAAGTACAGCTGACCAGATTGTTGGGGCGCTTTTTTCAGGTGAGTGGCCGCAAATGATGACATGTTGGTCTCGTTCTGAAGAAACCCAAGGTGCTTGATAAATAGCACTCCTTAGTGATTCAAGGCGCTTTGTCAAGGTCATTTTCCACTTGCCCGTACCGTACATAGATATATTATATACACTAGATAGCGCATCTGTTTTAGTAAAATTGAAGCCAAGAATATTCCAGCGGTTACCTCCATTTGAATAGATGGCGGCCATGTTGGAGTTTCCCACTCGCTAATAAACGCTTAAAAAACAACAATAACTTTCATCATTTGAATAGTTTGAAAATGTATTTGGAATAGGTTTAACTTAATGTTTAAGTTCCCTGTTTAAGAAATAGAAAACTTACGAGTCTTCTCATCTCATGGGAATATCCTGAGTCTGCAATCACGGCTTCAATTTTTGAATTGCAGACTAATTAGATGCACTATCTAGTGTATATAAGATATCTATGGCCGTTATCCACTAGGCGGAATTTTGCGCGCGGAGCGGAATTTCTCTTTGTCTTTCCTAATTAGTTCCACCCGAGAAATCACAAGACAAAGAAAATTTCCGCTCCGCGCGGAATATTCCGCCTAGTGGAAAACGGCCTTCATGTTCCAATGTTCGCGATGCAACCCTCGCGTACGGCGGTCAAAAACGTCAAGAATACCGCTTAGTGAGAAGAACAACTTTACAAAGTATCGTTGTGGATTTTGGAACTCTTTTTATGTTTTTAACAAAAGCAATGTTGACACATTTGTTTCAAAAAAGTGTTCTATATAAAACACAACCTTCGTTCGTATTTTGAAGTCACGCGCGTTTAGCTATAGTTTACATATATACGAAGAACTTAACCTCAGGGGATAAAACCCTAGGTATCCACCTTAAGAAACAATTATTCAAAATATGTATACCATTCAGAGATTGGGTCGCCTGTGTGCTACCATATATAGAAACTATGAACAATGTTGGTTAAATATTATTGTATGATAATTATCCTATAAATTTGTTGTTTCTTATTTTGTTTACCATCTGTAATATGTTATTGGTATACCAGTTCTGTCAACTGAAAATATTGCTGTTTTGTGTCATTAAAGCTGAAAATATTTGTATTTGCTCGTAATTTGTTCTCATGATGTCTTTCTTTGTAGTTTACAATAATTTAGCTATTATATCGCCCTAATTTCCTTTCCCATGAATCAATCAGATATATTCTCCACTCCCTTAGTTCGAGCTGTGGGACTTGCAGCTAGCGGAGATTCAATCCACCATTCGTTAAAAATTGTGAATAGTGTATACCAGCCTTTTGTGTATTTTGTAGCTAACAAGAAAATAGACCTTGGGTTTCTGGTAGATGATTGGTCAATTTTGCCATCATTGCATACAAGAGGTGAACACACTAAAAATGCCAGAGAGGGCGAATCTGTGAAAGATTTAATACGAACAATTTACGGTAGTTTTCATGTCGAAGATGGCACCGTTCACGTTGGTTTGGTCAAGTCTGGTGCAACGGCTAAAGTGGTTTTCGACTTTAATACAAACAAAGATTTGGATGGCTTAGATGAAGCCGTTGAGGAATTATCATTCTCAAAATCAGCTCAATCCAACATTGGTAATTTATGATAATGTTTTAGTAGTTCACTTAATTTAAAGCCTCGGCCAAACGAGGATTGTATAGTAAGGTTTCAAAGAGATAATTAATATCAATTGCCTTAGTTTATGTACACATGGTTCCATCATTAGTAATAGATAATCCCCGAGCCAACGACGCGGAGCGCCGTGCGAGTGTATTAATTCCATCCGGCTATTTATCCCCGGGGAGAGGAAAGCATTAACGAAGTCCAAAGTTCATCAATGAATGATATGTGGTGTGGGTTACCGTCGATGGTTCGGTGGGTGGTCATCGTCACTGCTCTCATAATATAGCGGACTGTCATGAACAGCAAACACCGATTGCTCCAATTTAGGAGCCGATTACATGGAGATCTTTCAACCCCGGGGTTGAACTCAGCCCTGTTAACCGGGTTGCATTTTTTTTTTGAAATGCTATACTATACGTTCTCGGCATCAATTCCCGGAAGTAAAAAGGCCTTAATTTTGTTTTCTTGTAATAAATAGTTACTCCACGTATGCTCGAATAAGTCATGACAATTTCATTCAGCCCTAGGTTGTTTAATTTTGTCATTTAATCGTTTCAACCCAGGGCTGAATTCAACCCCGGGGTTGAAATTTAAACCCTGCCAGTTTGTCATGTAATCACGCGTTTGACTTTGCTAGAGTTTTGTATTACAAACAGGGCTGAAATTTTAACCCCATAAATAGGGCCGAGTTCAAACCCGGGGTTGAAAATGCTCCATGTTATCGGCCCCTTAAAATTTGCATTACCGTTGTAATGAATGAATCAATCAATCAATCAGTCAATCAAAAACTTTATTTTAACACGGTGAAATAAAGCGTGTACTGGGGAGAGCCAATAGGAACTCTCCAAGCTATAAACATTGCGAGACAGGTTGCACGAAGCCATGTTACACGCTGCAACGCTTAAAATAATTAGTGCAATCGTTGCCAAAAGTAGAACCGACTTCTACTCTCTGCAATGCTTCATGCAACTTGTCTCGCAACGATTTTGACCATTGCAAGGCATGTTAAACGGTGCAATGACTGGTGCAACTTGTCTCGCAACGCCATTGCGAGACAAGTTGCATGAAAAATTGCACCGTGTAACAGGGCCTTTAGGCATGATTTAAAATTAGCAATATTACCCTTTTAAAGCGGAAAATATAGCGAGACAACAAAAATGTTGAGAACTTGGGCAATACGCGTGACGTCACAGATTGCAACTAGGTTTAGACTGTGACGTCAGCTAGTTTCCTATCCATTTATTTTACAATCCATGCTATAACTAAAACTTCGCGTACCGTAGTTCGTTCCTGGTTTTGCGGGTACAACTAAGGTGTGTTCAGAGTTTCTTAAATTATATCCTGCGCTGCGAGATTCAAAAAATTCATGGAGATAAAACGTTAATTGTTAATTGTTTTAAACATCAGTATAGCCTTAGTAATGTTTACGTATTAGTATAGCCAATATAATAAATTAGTTAATGATCTTTGCTCCAAACATAAAATTACATTTATCAACAATAGCTGCATAGGAAAATCATTGCTAAATAGATCAAACCTACACTTAAATCGGGACGGTGATAAAGCTTTGGGAAGTTCATTCTGCACCTACTTAAAGTCAGACAGAATTAGCACTAGAAACTCCAACAACCATTGATCTGATTGCATTTAATGAAACACGACTTGATGCAAATATAACCGATAACATGATTAATCTAGATGGCTATGATATTGTCAGAAAAGACAGATCAAGAAACGGTGGTGGGGTTTGTATTTACTTGCGTAGCTCCATAAATTACAAAGTAAGAAATGATCTAGTTCCCACTGAACTCGAAGCTGTCTGTGTTGAAATTATTAAGCCGCATAGCAAACCATTTCTTGTTACCACAGTCTATAGACCACCCAGTGCATTATCAGAATTCTTTGATCATTTTGAAAAATTGATCCAAGCTGTTGATAATGAAAATAAAGAAATGTATATCCCGGGTGATCTGAACTGTAATATGCTAAAAACAAATAACGATTCAAATATTCCAACAAAGAAAATAAAATCACTATATGAATTATACCAATTAACACAACTGATAGATGAAGCTACTCGAATAACTCCAACAACCACCAGTCTTATTGATCATATTGTTACTAATATTCCAGAGAAAATCTCTGATTCTGGTGTCATTCACACAGGTATTAGTGATCATAGCTTAGTATTTGCAATCAGGAAAATTTCTATTGTTACAAAACAAGAAAATTATACTCTTGAAATTAGAAACATGAAAAATTTTGATGAAGGAAAATTTATTGAAGAACTGCTAAAACAACACTGGGAATATGTGTTTTAATTACAAAAAATTAATCCCAAGAAAGCTTCGAAAAGTATAAACAACTTGTTAGGTAGGCAAAACAAACCAACAGTGGTAAATGAACTAAATGTAGGTGAACAAAATTTGACAAGTCCTGAAGATATTGCGGAGGGCTTTAATGAATATTTTTCAAATATTGGCCCAGACCTAGCTAGAAAAATAGATTATTCCAATTCCAATTTTGAAACCTATGTCAAAAATGCTCAATCAGAATTTGCGGCTTTCCAACCTGTTACTGTCAGTCATGTCTCTCATCTTTTGCATTGACTTTCCAACAATAAAGCCACTGGCATTGATAAAATCTCTTCCAAAATTATTAAATTAGCTGCACCTGTTATCTCAGATTCACTGACACTTATTTTCAATCAGGCTATTACTTTATCTTCTTTTCCTGATGAATGGAAGTTTGCTAGAGTGATGCCCCTATATAAAAATGGCCAGCGTAGTATTCCTGGAAACTACAGACCAATATCAGTTTTACCGGCCATTAGTAAAATTATGGAACGGATATTGTATGATCAACTGTATAACTATTTAACAAAATTTGAGCTTCTCAGTGATTCCCAATTTGGATTTCGAAAATTTCACTATACAGCTAGTGCACTACTAGACTGTACTAATGATTGGTATGTAAATCTAGACAGAAAAATGTTTAACCTAGTAGTTTTAATTGATTTGAAGAAAGCCTTTGATACTGTTGATCATCAAATTCTGCTGAACAAATTAGAGCTCTATGGAATAAAAGGACAAGCTCTAACTTTGCTCAAATCCTATCTCACAAACAGAAACCAGAAGTGCCAAATAAAAAACTCATTTTCATCTGAGCGTTTGATTAAATGTGGTGTACCACAAGGCTCTATATTAGGGCCATTATTCTTTTTGTTGTACATCAATGATTTGCCACATTGTCTAAACAAAACAAAACCGCGGTTGTTTGCTGATGACACAAATTTGACTGCTTCAGCAAATTCTATGACTGACCTAGAGACTGCAGTAAATTGTGATTTAGAGAACCTTAGAAAATGGTTAATAGCCAATAAACTTAGCCTCAATGTAGCTAAGACAGAGTTTATGTTGATTGGCTCTAAACCTATGATCAAAAATATTTCTGATTCTTGCCCAAATGTTTACATTGAAAATATACAAATTAAACAAGTTTATGAATGCAAAACTCTAGGAGTAACAATTGACCAGCATTTATCTTGGAAAAGTAATACCGAAAATATTTGCAAAAAAGTTACAGCAGGAATCTCTGCTATTCGTCGGATCAAACCATTTGTTGATCAAGATACACTTATTTTGATATATAACACTATTGTTCGTCCGTACTTTGACTACTGCTGTGAAGTATGGGATGTATTTGGCGAAACTCAATCAAAACGACTGCAAAAACTGCAAAATAGAGCGGCAAGAATTATTCTGAATATAAGCAATGACGTAGATTATACGATTGCGTTACGTACTTTGGGCTGGGAGCCACTCCAAACTGAAAGGAAGAAAACTAGAGCAAGAATGATGTATAAGTTATTAAACAAAATGGGCCCAAAATCACTCACAAATCTATTTTCGTTTAAGAGTGAGAAAACTAATTACCACCTTCGGGATGTCTCAAGTGGTCTTTATTTACCAAAACCACGTACAAATAGCATGAAAAATAGTTTCATGTACGACGGAGCAAACATTTGGAATTCTATACCAAACGAAATTAGGGAAAGCAAGTCACTTTCTTCCTTTTGAAATAAAATCGCTGCTCACATTAGTGCTTGGTAACCTTTGTAAATATAACTTACCTGTAAATAGCTCAAAACATTTGTTATATCTTTTAAATTTATATATTACTGTAATAGCTTAGCTTATCCTTATCATATTCTGCATGTAAAATAATTTTCTGGCACACGCCCCCCGTGGAAATCAGCTACGGTTGACGGGGTCAGCGTGGATAAATAAAGTTCTACTACTATGCTTTTTCCGACGTGTTAAAAGATTATCTCAGCCCAGCTTACTAAAAAGGTCGCTGGAACTAGCATCATATTGAGATTTAGTGATGACCCTCGCTGCCCTATTTTGCAATTTTTGCAATTTGTCATTTAACGTGATATTCAAACCATCCCAAACTGAGCTGCAATAATCAAAGTGCGGTTGAATTGGTGCTCCATAAATTTTCAGAGCAGTGTTTGTATCTATAAATTGGTGCACCCGTTTAAGAGCTCCAATAGCTGATGCAATCTTTTTGGAAATATTTTCGACATCCCGTGCCCATGTAAGAGCTCATCGATTTGCAAGCCTAAAGATTTCGTTTCGTTGACTCTCGTAATTGTCTTTCCGTCGAAATCTATCCTTAAGTATGTGTTCGTTATCATGTAGTAGTAATCCTTGACGAGATCCTATTATCATGAATTCCGTTTTAGCTACGTTAAGACTCAGTCTATTAGCTAGTAGCCAGTGATGAAGATTTTTCAATTCAGAGTTTATTATTTGCTCAAGCTTCGTGACGGAATTTACTGCGATGCTAATATTAGTGTCGTCAGCAAACATTCTTGGAGAGGATCTGTCGAGACAATTAGGCAAATCATCCCAGAGCCGATCGCGCGAAGCGCCGGGCGAGAGTACTCATGAAGAGCGGGCACTGCATGATTGGTCCAATTTAAAGTTTGCATTATAACGACTGCATGACGACAGCGAAATAGCAAACATTTCTTGACTTGATGATTGATAATAGTGTACTAATTAACATGCCATAGCACAGTGGAGCTATTACCCTTGTAGCCAAACGGATTCAACGGCTTTGCGTCCTTGTGCAATTCTATGTAGCCGTGCAGACAGCATTAAAATCAGTTATTATGTGGTTTATTTTCTATGCAAATTATTACATACTGAGATCGGGGTGTTCTAAAACAATGCGCCCTGCTATATAAACCGACAATAAATAAACCGACAATATAGAGGCAATTAATTCATGAATCAAATATTTAAGTTTTTCATTACAAAGGTAAAAAAGTTTTAAATGAGCTTGGCAATCAATCGTGATATTTCGCAAGCTTCCATAGACGAACGGAACGGAAAATGTCTTCATTTCCTCTCACGTACTAAGGAATACGACAAGTAAAAATGATCTTCCAAGAAAATGGGTCATTCTATTAATGGTTAGCGGCCAAAGCAGTTTATTTGCAAACTAATTGTTTCAGCTCCAGGTTGAAATCAAAGCTGGCTCCAGGTTCGCGAACCTCGAGCTGGCAATCATCATCTAAACAATCAGCATTCAAACCTAAATAATCGCCGACCTTTATTGTAAACACGATACAGTAGTGAGAAGATCACGTAGACGTCGCCGAAAAAATCACCTAATTTTCTCACCTTAATTAATGTGATTTTTTCACTCTCAACATTTTGCCGTCGACATATCATATTCGACATTTAACCCACGACATTTAGCAGCGGAAATTTAGTTAACCCTCGACTTTTTACTTTCACCCTCGACTTTTTACCCTCGACAGTAGTAGTGTATGTGGTTTTCGACCCTTATTTTTGGGGCGGCGCGGGGCGGCGCGGGGCGGCGCGGGGGCAAAAGCCGTTTTTATGATCGCTATTTGCATGTTGTTCAACATTATTTAGCAAACCTACATACATATATACGGTCAAGATGACCGAGTCAGATAGAATACTTCAAGGAAAAAACCTGTAGAACAATTTAACAGTCTTAGTTGTAATATTTTTTGTCTATTATTTGTATTAAGAAACATGTTTTACACTTTGCTGCGTTGTTATGCGTTGCTAAGTCATTAGGAGGCGTGTAAGTAATTAAGGGGATTAAGGTAATACGAATTTGCATAACTAAGTGTATTCCGATGGATAGATAGGGATTATTTTTAACGCCGGTGTATACCTTAAAATCAGGCGCGTGGCTTTGCGTGTGCATGCATATATTAACGTACAACATATTTGTACACTAATCAGGCGGGCGGATCGCGCGGGCGGAAAGAGCGGGCTTTGTCGGCAAAAATGTACACAATATTTCAGTTTTTAAATTTATTTCTTCAAAACGCTTTACAAAATTTAGTACGGTCTACTTCTAAGAGCATAACGTCTAGGAGTGTTTGTTATTTTTAAAGAGTTTTCATATTCTTGTCTATCTTCTGGGGATAACCTTGCAACATCTTCATTCTTCATTGGAATATATTTCGGCCTCTCGCGAAGTAATCTTTGTTCGTAACCTTCTCTTTGTTCAGGGGTCATCATTGTCAAATCTTGGGGCCTCCAATCTGTAGAGTCTACCCAATTGTGGAAAAAGTTGCGCTTGAGTTTTGGTCGTTCCTCTTCTGTTGGTGGTGGTGTAAGGAAATTAGGTTTAGGTGTAGCAGGCACTGGTGGTGCTATCTCGACAGATTCATTGGGTTGTGGCATCTCTGCAGGCACGAATGGAGTTGTCTGAACAGGAGCTTGAGTCGGAACATCCATCTTATTTTTGAATGTCAAAAACCGATTTAGTTGATCAGAGTATAATTTGCTTTTTCCACTGCGCTAAGCTGTGGTGCACCGTAATTAAACATCGATTGATTCAGACGTGCATTATTGAGCTCCGTATTTTTTTTTAGTTCATATTTTGTATAATGAATAACTTGCTGACGACAACTGCGAACATTAAGCTATTGTATGATGGTGATAAATATCGATGGACTGGTTCCCTTATCGAGTTAAAGGAATTCGTTAATAAGTATCTACAAATTAAAGGGGAATGGACTTCACCTGGTGGTCATGTTAAACTATTTACCGCTGAGGCTTCTGACTTCGCTATTAAATGGTATGGCCCACGTTCACAGAAGCTTACGATTGAAGTTGATAGCTGTGATCACTATCTAGAGGCGAAACTTATGAACTTGTCTGTTGGTAAGCAAGTAAGTGAAGGCGAATTGCATGCAAACAAAGATGACGCTCTTAAATCATCGGAGCCGTGTAGCTGTAGTTGTAAATGCTCGGGCGGAGTTGCCGTAGCTAGCTTGGAAGGTTTGAAATTGGATATAGCAATCCTAGAATCACGTCTTAACTTGGCTAACCCGAGCGACGAGATACTTTCAGAACTAACTTTAATCCAAAATAATAAACCAATAAACCTAAGGGGTCCGGGACAGTATATGTCCCCTCGTTTCTACTATCAAATGTGATGTCACTGTCTCCAAATATAGACGAAGTACGTGAAGTAATACGCTGTGGTAATTATGAATTTGTCAGTCTGGTAGAGACTTGGATACAGAGTCACATTCACGATAATATTATCAATATACAAGGATATAACCTAATTCGTAGAGACAGGGTCGAAGGCACCCATGGTGGTGTTTGTGTTTATATTAAAGATTCCATAGCTTTTACAGTGCTTGATGAACTCTATAACAGTTCATTTGAAATACTGTGGATCAGCATCCGACCTAATAGACTACCCAGAGGAATTACTAACCTGATAATTGGCACAGTATACCACCCTCCCAGCGCAGACAATTCAGACATGTTGGACTATCTTTCAAATTGTTTGTCGCGTGTAGAGTCGCGTTTTCCCAACTGTTGCCTTATTATCCTTGGCGACTTTAATAAGTTAAACGTGTCGAGACTAAGATCGTGTTATAATCTGAAACAACTCGTAAACTTCCCCACACGTGGGAATAATACGCTCGATATAGTCCTAACAAACCTTAGCACTTACTACGACAAACCTACCAAATGTGCCCCGTTCGGGTTATCCGATCACGTGACCATTGCGATTAGACCAATTAAACGATCAAAAGTTCAAGGAACATCAACAGCATCAGTAAAGGTGAGAGACTTGAGACCTAGTTCCCGCCTTGCTGTAAGGAAATATATAGATATGGTAGACATTCCCACCTTGCTTAACACAGGCCACTCTTGTGAAGAAAAAACATCTTTATTCCAAACAATAATTAACAATGGGTTGGATTCAATTATTCCGCTATGTAATAAAACTGTTAGATTAAATGAACCTCCATGGATGAACACAACTTTGAAAGGTCTTATAAGGAAACGACAAAAAGCCCTTAATCAGAAAAGAACTACAGAATTTAAAAGGCTGAGGAATCAAATCAACCGCCAAAGAAAAAAATGTCGGGCAAAATATTACGAAAATAGCGTTCACCATTTAAAACAATGTAAACCATCAGCATGGTGGAAAGAGGTTAAAAAGCTTAGTGGAATAAATGTAATCGGGGGAACCTCAGATGAAATTGTGAAAGCTCTGAGACCAGGAGATGACCCTTCTAGCTCTGATAAAAGAGATTTAGCCAACGAGATTAATAATGCCTTTTTGGCTCCTATGGCTAGATATGTGCCGTAATCCTCAGTACCTCGTCAACATCTCATCCAACCTAAACAAAGTGATACAGTAATTACTGTAACATCGAATGCTGTTTTCGAAAACCTTCTCAAACTTAATCCCAAAAAAGCTCATGGTCCGGATGGCATACCGTCGTGGCTCCTAAAAGAAAACGCAGATCTATTAGCTGGTCCGATAACGGCCATCTTGAACTGTTCATATCGGGAATGTACCCTACCGCCAGTTTGGAAGAAGGCGGACGTAGTTCCAATACCGAAAGAAAAGCCCATCCAGGATATCAATCGTCAGTTACGCCCTATTTCACTTACACCTATTCTATCGAAACTCGCAGAAGAATTTGTTGTAATGATTTATGTGAAGCCAGCAGTGATGGAATTGATCGATAGTAAACAATTTGGGACGGTGCCGGATAGTTGTACGACATATGCTCTTATAAGCATGCTACACACTTGGAATAAGGATACGGATGGTAACGGTTCAACAACTCGAGTTATGACGTTTGACTTCCGTAAAGCATTTGATTTAATAGACCACAATATTTTATCGGAGAAGTTAACAAAGTATAACATACCGAGGTCTGTCATGCTTTGGATCTTAGACTTTCTGACTGACCGAGAACAGAGGGTAAAACTCAGCCAAGATTGCCATTCCGAATGGGGCAAGGTCCCAGCCGGCGTCCCCCAAGGCACAAAGCTCGGCCCATGGTTATTTTGTATTATGATTAATGATCTAAGCGTTAAGGACGTTAATGATTTATGGAAATATGTTGACGACTCATCCTTGTCGGAATCAGTTTGTAGAGATGGCCCAAGTAACTTACAAAAGTACGTAGATGAATTTAACCAGAAATCAACAGCTAACGGTTTTCAGATAAACGAATCAAAATGCAAAGAGTTGTGTATAAGCTTTGCACCAAGCATACGTGAGTTCCAGCCAATTACTATTAATGGGAAAATTGTCGAACGTGTAACATCGGTAAAATTGCTGGGTCTAACCATCTCAAATAACTTGAAGTGGAATAGTCATATTTCACACGTTTGTAAAAAGGTCGCACCTCGTCTATATTTTTTAAGACAACTAAAACGAGCGAAATTACCAGCTAACGACCTAATCCTTTTCTACTCCACCTGTATTCGACCAGTCATCGAGTATGCGTGCCAAGCATTTCACGACTCATTACCCAAATACCTGTCTGATGATCTTGAAAGACTTCAGAAACGAGCTTTTCGAATAATATTCCCAGATCAACACTACAAAGAAGCATTGAGGAACACGAACACCCCATCACTGTACGATAGAAGTCAGGAATTAACAACAAAACTTTTTAAGGACGTAGTCAATAATCCTGCGCACAAATTAACGGATTTGTTACCGCCATTAAATAATGACAATAGTCATTTTTTGCGTAAAAATAGGAAATTTAACGTGCCACTTCATAAAACGAACAGATTTAGGAACAGTTTTATCACTTATAACTCTAATAAGTTTTTTGAATAACTTAGAAACTGTTTTTTTACCGCGAATATGCTGGTTTTTAACCTGATCTAAATTAGCATTAGTGAGTGTTTTAGTAACAAATTATAAGTCTGCGCATACAGTATATATATGTGAATGTGTATTTTTAAGTATTTAGTCTAATCTTATTCGTTTTCTTAAACAAATACATGTAAAATTAGTTTTAATATCCTTGTAAACCTAACATATTTCAGCAGTGGAATTAGTTATATTCTGGAGCTGTAAGTTTTAGTGTCAAATAAACTATCAAACTATCTCTGTTCGGCATCATACATTGCGTTTGCAAGTGGTGGTTGACGATACGACTGTTTGTGTAAAAACTTTGCAATCTCGCCGGGAAGTACGTTTGTCTTGAGTCGATCTTGGTCACTCGTTGTCGGCTTTAAATCCAACATCAAATATCCGTGAGGCCTGCTCGTAACATCTTCATAACTCTTCATAAACTCTTGTACTTTGCCGGGATTTATTTGCCTTGCAAGTATAGAAATTTGTTGTTTATCTCTTGGTGACTTGAATAATACGATATAATGCGCGTTTAGACTAATATTTCTCATTTCTTTGCCCTGATGAAATATATTTTGGACAATATAGATGACAGACAAATTTCGATGATGACTTCCTTTCGTAAAAAGATCAGAAATACGTTTATCTTTGCCAGATTGAGCCATAAGATCATCCAATACGATCAAATTCCGTTGCGATACGTCCAAGTAATCCGCATTGCCGATATCTTCGGGGATGCCTTCATTAAACTCGATTCCAGGCATTATTCTCATCATATCAAAATAGGACGGTTGTCATTGACCATAACACCAAATGATACGTTGAGGAGTAGGACTTATAGTCGTTTGAGCATTCTCCAAGAGAGATTTCACCCATACGGTTTTGCCGCTTTGGGTACATTCTGCAACGATGCATGTAAAGGGATGCTGCATGACTGTAACCCCATTCACCGTGAGAGTTTGCTGCCCAAGATTACGAGTTCCATATGCATGGACAACCTTCTTGTGGCGAAGGAGATTACTCGCATTTGCAAACGTTTTACCGAAGATGTCGCATTCATAAGACATGTTTACTTCTCAAGAGTCAGTGTAAAATGATTTAAAGCAAGAGTGAAGAGGTGTATTTATCCCGTTGGTTATTGTCGCGTCTATGAAGACTATTGTAAAGACTATGAAAGACTATAGTCCTGACTATGAAAGACTATAGTCCTGACTATGAAAGACTATAGTCCTGAATATGAAAGACTATAGTCCTCACTATGAAAGAATATAGTCCTGACTATGAAAGCCTATAGCCGTGACTATATGAAAGACTATAGTCCCGACTATGAAAGACTATAGTCCCGACTATGAAAGACTATAGTCCTAACTATGAAAGACTATAGTCCTGACTATGAAAGAGTATAGTCCTGACTATGAAAGACTATAGTCCTGACTATCAAAGACTATAGTAAAGACTATGAAAGACTATAGTCCTGACTATGAAAGACTATAGTCTAACTATGAAAGACTATAGTCCTGACTATGAAAGACTATAGTCCTGACTATGAAAGACTATAGTCATGACTACGAAGACTATAGTAAAGACTATGAAAGACTATAGTCCTGACTATGAAAGACTATAGTCCTGACTATGAAAGACTATAGTCATGACTATGAAAGACTATAGTCCTGACTATGAAAGACTATAGTCCTGACTATATAAAAGACTATAGTCCTGACTATGAAAGACTATAGTAAAGACTATGAAAGACTATAGTCCTGACTATGAAAGACTATAGTCCTGACTATGAAAGACTATAGTCCTGACTATGAAAGACTATAGTCCTGACTATGGAAGACTATAGTCCTAACTATGAAAGACTATGAAAGACTATATGACTATGAAAGACTATAGTCCTGACTATGAAAGACTATAGTCCTGACTATGAAAGACTATAGTCAAGACTATAGTAAAGACTATGAAAGACTATAGTCAGACTATGAAAGACTATAGTCCTGACTATGAAAGACTATAGTAAAGACTATGAAAGACTATAGTAAAGACTATGAAAGACTATAGTAAAGACTATGAAGACTATTGTCTAGACCTAATCTATAGAGGGCGAGCCGATCCTTATATACGTGTTATTTCCAACTAAATCTTCATTCCGTTGCTGACCGCCGAACAGAGATGACTAGCAGTTATATGAAACACAGACCATTTGTAGAACTCTTATGTACTTCTCATCCAACTCAACAGCAAGCTCTTCTTAATTCTACATCAGCTGAGCAAATTCGATGCTTGTGTCATTGTATAGAAAATTTCACATACTCCAAAGAAACAAAGGACAAACTCAGACCTTTCGAACAAGATCTAGCTGATTTAGCAGACAGAGATAGAAATTTTAAGACGAAAAAGGAAATTCTTGTTCAGCGGGGAAGCGGCTTTCTGGGATTGGTACTTGGACCACTTTTAGAAGGCCTTGCAGAAATAATATAAAATAAAAAGTATGAAGGACATCTCCTCATTCCAATCATGGATAGCGACAAACGATCATCTCCTGAACAGTGGAGACTTGAAGACATTCTCAAATATCTTGACGTTGATGATGAACACGAAGCCGAAGAAATCCTTCATTCTATTTTAACATCTACGGGGATTTTGACTTGGAATGGAAAAGGAGAAATCGTTTACAGAGGACATAATATACGAGGCACTGACATTGTAGACCTTCTGAAATATTGCGTGACGCCTTATCATCCAGATATTCCCGAACCAACTGGATTGAGTATTTTTATAAAAGGTCTTGCAGAATTGGAAATTGATAAAAGCCTGATCTTAAATGGACATGTCCTTTCTGTGTTAACCCACAAGTGGTCCCGTCAGGATACACAATCTGATGCTGACGCAACTTGTAACAGTTGTAACAAAGTAATATACATCTCCCATTTGAGTACGTGCCCCGTATGCGCATGGACAGATTTTTATCCGAATTGTAAAAACTGTCGCTGTATGATCTGTGATTTTCAAGTGTCCAAAGGAGATTTTACACATGTAATCACCAGCTGCCCACATTGTCGCCGAGGTGAAATTATAGGTATCAGAACGGATGAAAGGCAGTCCTTTAACCATAAAATAGGCGACCAAAGTGATATTTGATTAGTTGACTGCGTGAAGTTGAACTGAACACATCAACATGCCGAGAGGTACACTTGTTGTAGACGAAAAACTACTGAGAGACCATTTCTTGAGACAGCAGCGTGGCGGAAACATCGCTGGGTTTAATGGTGCACGTATGCAAAGGGGATACGGGATCGGAGGTATTTTCAAGAGCCTTGCGAGATATGCTATTCCTCTATTCAAACAAGGTGCTAAAGTTGTTGGCAAAAGAGCATTACAAGCAGCCACAGAAGTGGGTCAAGATATACTCCAAGGAAAAAATGTAAGAGAATCTGTAAAGACTCACGGAGGTGACGTTGTTAAAGACTTTGCCGAACAAGGAGCAAAAGCCCTACTACAACAAGCAGGGCGCGGAAGCAAGAGAAGGCAGGGCCAACGCAGTAATTTATCAACTACAAAGAGGTTAAAACTGTGTTCTCATATAACAGTCCCAGGACATACCAAATGAATTACGGAAGATGAAAGCAGCCACGATGATGAAAGCAGCTATGATGAAGAATCTGATAGCGAAAACCCTGAAACAAGTGACGATATATATTAGAAGCATAACTTTGTAAAACGTTTTGAAGAAATAAACGCGCTTAAAAACTGAAACATTGTGTAATTTTTTGCCGGCAAAGCCCGCTCTTTCTGCCCACGCGATCCGCCCGCCTGATTAGTGTACAAATATGTTGTACGTTAATACATGCATGCACCCGCAAAGCCACGCGCCTGATTTTAAGGTATACACCGGCGTTAAAAATAATCCCTATCTATCCATCGGAATACACTTAGTTATGCAAATTCGTATTACCTTAATCTCCTTAATTACTTACACGCCTCCTAATGACTTAGCAACGCATAACAACGCAGCAAAGTGTAAAACATGTTTCTTAATACAAATAATAGACAAAAAATATTACAACTAAGACTGTTAAATTGTTCTACAGGTTTTTTCCTTGAAGTATTCTATCTGACTCGGTCATCTTGACCGTATATATGTATGTAGGTTTGCTAAATAATGTTGAACAACATGCAAATAGCGATCATAAAAACGGCTTTGACAACCCGGGATTAGCAACTGCTTATTTCTGTTGCGATATTTTTTATTTCTGTTTGGAAACTTATTGCTCAAAATAAGCCATCAAAATTAAAACGAATTTCAACTGCGTGTTGAAAATAAGAGGGACTCACAACGTTGCTACATGGTTGTAAGGCAAAAATTTTTCTACCGTACCGGGTTCGAACCGGTGACCTAAGGAATACTGATTTGGTAATAACTACAGTCCTTTGCTCTACCAACTGAGCTAACGGTAGGTTTTAAAAACTAACTTCTATTTCATACTTTTAAACATGCAAACTATGAGAAACCTCTTGTCGTTTTATTACAAACTTGTCAGAAACTAACAGCAAAATGCTAGAGCTGTACTTATTAAACTCCAGACAACAACATATTCTCTTGTATATAGCCCTAACTATTGTGTCGCACACGAGGAGGGGCGCTAAAAAATGCGTAGTCAGCAAGTTTCGCCCGATCGTGTTTAAGCTCGCCCGCGTGACGTCATTACTTGCCTGATCCTACCCGCGTGACGTCATTGCATGTAATTATGACGTATGCTAATGATGATGCGCCGCCCCACGCCGCCCCGCGCCGCCCCACGCCGCCCCGCGCCGCCTCGCGGCGCCCCGCGCCGCCCCAAAAATAAGGGTCGAAAACCACATACACTACTACTCTCGACATTTAACCCTCGTTATTCGATACACTACCAATATAAATAAACTCATCTGAGGTTAATTTGAATAACAAACGCATACTGGTGAATGCGTACATGGAAATAATTGGCTTTGGTCGATTTATCTTCCGATTATTTGGTATTATCAGCCACCGATAAAATAAAATTAATCGAATCGGCTAATTGGCAATTTCAGCTATCCGGTGTCACAGGACTTTAGCCCCCAAGGAGATTCGCCCCCCCCCCCCCTCTCAAAAGAGGGGCGATATTCCAAACGATTACAAGTTGATAAGATTTATTAAAAACGATTACAAGTTGATAAGATTTATTGTGTGATTTATTTATTTTAGCAATGTTAACCATAGCCGCCACAGTACTCACTAAATATAAACTATAGGATCAATAAAAAATCTATGGAATGTGTTGCGAAGCGTATTGTCCATTGAGTCGTCAACCTTCCATGTCAGTGTCAGTGAAGTAATGTTGATTTTTGACTTCCTATATAGTGTGGTTTATTCAAATAATTTCATGATACTTTGATTTTATTAGTACCTTAAACATTTGAGAATGTGAGTCTGCAAAACTAAAAGCTTTTCTCTCTTTTTTGAAACGTATATTATTGGAGTATTGAAAATATTTAATATATTTAATAATGCTGAATTTCTACCACAAAATGTTTCTGGGGCCCGAATAGGTATGACACGTTGTACATACTAATACCTATTTACATACTAATAATACATACTAAAGGGCCAACCATTTAACTTTTGAAGGGAGGGGGGTTGTGGTTTACTGCTGGCAGGGAATTTTTTCTGGGATCGTTATGTGCAAGTTTTATTTTATCCCATCACCATGTACGATTTTTTTTGCCACACTTTCTTTCGCAGCATTTTTTTTCAGTAATTGTCCCATGCAAATGTTAGGAAGGGCAAAATTTCTAATGAAGGACGAAAATCCTAAAGGAAAGGTGAAGTTTCTAAAGGGGAGCGAATTTCCTAAAGGGGGGGCGAATTTCCTAAAGGGGAGGCGAATTTCCTAGGAATTTCGCCCCCCGGGAGGGCGATATTCCTAGGAATTTCGACCCGCTGGAGGGCGAAATTGTGGGGGGGACGAAATTCCTTGGACACTGCCTCATCCATAGCCAGCGTTATGACTGCCAATCCGACTGTGGTGTTGATGACATGGTAAGGAAGGTTCCTACATTTTCTGGTTATCGGTGAGAATTCATGAAACAGAAATTTATCAAACAAAAAAGATCATCCGAAATTGCCCAACAGCCCATATAAATGAGTACGGATTGATTTTTGACAGTTTGACAGTGGTATTGAGGCAGGCACTTGGAATTTTCCCCAGTCTTTAGTTTTCAAAATCTCTCTGACAAAGCAAACCCTCCGACCCTCCTAAAACTCTGTGTAGTTTTTTAAAACTGTCAAGTATCAATAGATCTGAATGTTTTTCTTGTGAAACTAGACACTGACGTAATCGGCATATATTCAATGTTAACCAAAGTTTAATAATACATAGTGCCTAGACATATGCGTATCAAGCTAATGACTAGGCAACCCCCACCCCCGCATTTGAAGGACGCCTAACGTCACCCTTGTGATTACCACCTACGCAGGAATCCAGCATTCAATTCAAAACATTGTATTATATTTGTTTAGGGAAAGCACTGGACGTTGCTAACTATGGTCTATTCAAGAACAGTGGTAGACCAGACGCTCTGAAATTCTTAGTCGTCATAGCTCAAACTAAGTCCACAGATGACGTGAATCGTGCTGCGAGAGATTTGAGAAATTCTGGTGTGAATATCTTGTCTGCTTGGTCAGGAAAGCGAAACTCGCACAGGGATGATTTGCAGAGCATTGTTAGTCCACCCAAACACTATAATTTGTTCGGAGATGGTGGAAGTTCAGTGGATAAACTTGCCCTACTCATTGTAAAAAGAATTCGTTATGGTATGTTTTGAATATATTGAGAAACTGAAAAATTATACAGGGTGTCCCAAAAAAAAGTGACACTATAGAAATTATCTCATTGTTCTTAAGCCGCTCTTAATCCGCGTGATTACACCCCTGGGAATTTATTAAATTCCCAGGGGTGTAATCGCGCGCGTTTAAAAGCGGCTTAAGAACAATGAGATAATTTCTATAGTGTCACTTTTTTTTGGGACACCCTGTATATTCTCTTTTCTTCGTAAACAGCGAACAGACAAATTTGACTAACGTTGTTCACTTCGTTCCCAGTTGCTACTCAATTCACAACTTTAAATAATTCACATGTATAGCTAGTTACTGTTCTAGTTTACCGAGGCATAGAATAGAACAAAGGTAACTAAGCGTTAGAGTTATGTACATTAGTTATTCATCCATACATGTAGATAATCCCCAGGCCAATGGCGCGGAGCTTCGTTCCGGGCGTAAGCCCGGGGCGAGGGTACCAATTCCGCCCGGTTATTTACACCCGGGTAAACGAAAGCATTAGCGAAGTCTAAAGTTTATCAATGATCGCGGGCACAGTATGATCTATAATCTATGTCGCGGGCGTGTGTGACCAACGGTGTTGAGGTGCAGTGTTGGGTGGGTGGTCATCCTCACTGATCTCAAAAATATGGCGGACTGTCATGAATAGCGAACACTGATTGGTTAAATTTAAAATTTGCATTATAACGACTGCATGACGACAGCGAAATAGCAAACATTTCTTGATTTGATGATTTCTTGCAAATATATTTCATTTTTGCAAGATTTTGTGATCATGAATTTCAAAAGCTTTCTAAGAAAATGAAGGCGAAATAATTGCTATAAAAGAAGGGAGTAAAGTCGCCGACGTTTAATAACGAAGTTAGGTTTGTTTTAAATATTGATGTATTGTTCGCTTTATGGAGGGGAGTAAAGGAGTAAAGGAGTATGGAAGGGAGTAAACTCGCCGACGTTTAATAACGAAGGTAGTTTTGTTTTAAATATTGATGTATTGTTCGCTTTATAATAGCTTTAAAAGCCGATTGTTACGTATATTTTAAATGAAAAAGACAACATATAATTTCAGTGTTTCTTTATTTTTTATTATATAAAATTTTTAAATAAAAAAGAAAGCAAAGTTGTTTGAATGCGAGAATTTGAAATCATTTTATAATTTCAAACTCAAATTTTATCGAAAACGGCAGTTTAGTTTTATAAAGAACATTTTAAAACATCTTGGGAAGCGTTTGAGGTTGAATTTTACCTTAAATTGAAGCTTATATCACGTATAATAACATACCTAACATATATATATGTTTGAGGAATTGTTAATTTTGTAATTAAAAGTGATATTTTTAGGGGATTTTTGACATTTTTCATTTGTAAAAACATTCTTAACAAAATTATCGTTGGTCTGATTTCAGTGAGTAAATCCATTTACAAAGTCAAATCCGAGTTCGACTCAATTCCGAGCCCGATCAAATAATGTCCGGCGACGAAATTGAATAACATTTACAATCCAATAGGAGTAGGGTAAGGGATAGGAGTTGTAGTAGGTTTAGGAGTTGTAGTAGGATTAGGGCTAGAGTTAGTTACTGTAGGATTAGGGACCATTAGGCTTTCCATTCTGTGCAAAATGTCGCACGATCGATCTTTGCGATCGCTTTCTTTTGAAATGTATGCATTCAACTACAGCTAATGAGATTTGCTCCGCTTGACTGTTTGTGGCGGAAAGCTATTGCAAACAGTCGACTGCGCAACATTTTGCACTGAATGGAAATCCGCCTTAAGTCATTGAACTACAAAAACCGCTAAAAATGTTGCTCGGACATTTGACTCGCAACCCCATTGGGCCAAATGGGGCCGCCAGGCTTAGGCGATAGAGCAAAAACATTGGCCAGGGCCTCTGATATGCTACAATGTCGTTTTCTGACCATCAGAATTCTGTAAAATCTCTCCCCAAATCCAGGAAATGGCATTTCAGAGAGTCTAGATTCAAAATTTTGCGGATGAGCATGCCCTGGACCCCGTAGAATAAACTCGTGCATATACGGCGCTCGACTCGTCCCTTTGGCACTTCTACTAGGGAGTCTTCGAAAATTTTGAACCGGGGCCCCCTGTATAGCGTTACGCCACTGGTTGCTCGGATTTGACTTAGTTGACCGACAAACTCTGATTTCAGTTACTGCTTTTTCGGCATTTTCAATATTTGTACATGCAGACACTATTTTTTATGGCATTTGTCTATTTAACTCTACAGGGTGTATCAGAAAAAAGTAGACAATTTTAAAATGGCTTTCAATTTCACAAATCCGTTCATGTCTTGAAATTTTCATAAATATAGATTGCTTGGGTACTTTTTAATGTAGATGTTTGTTATGTGTTTTATTATAGTGGTCCAAATATTAGAACATTTGCTCAATTTTAAGTTTTTTAAATAACTTCTGAGACTTTCCATTTCTAGCACCTTTTTTTTACTTTTTACAATAACGTAACGATACGCAAATTAGGTAAATGTATGAATTAATTAAGCATACGTGAAAGGCATTGGTTGGTATCGAAAAATGAAAGTTTCAGCAGCTGTTTGAGATTATTTTTTTAGCTTTAAACTTAAACTAACAGACATCGATTAACGTAACGTTTGGACACAGAATAAAGACATACAGAAGTGTATCTTCTTATTAAAAGTGCGTAAGGGATTTTTTCAGTCCGCCATGTTCTTAGCAAGTGCCCTAAAGAGAGGCAGTCACCCCCCTGAAAATATATTGAAAATTTAATATTCCAGGGGGGTGAATGCCTCTCTTTAGGGCACTTGCTAAGAACATGGCCGCCAGCTATTTCGGTAAAAAGCGCCTTACGGTTTTGTAATGGAAGTTACACTTCTGTTTGTCCTTATTCTGTGGTTTGGAGGCGCTATACTCAGCGTTATATTTTTAAACACAAAGATAGTGGACTGTTGGAATATTTCGACAGAGTCCATCACAGTCAGTATATTTTTGTGGGTTTCCGGTTTCCCGACCCTACCTAGCTTTTGAACGCCGAAATCCTGACCCTAAACTTTTTTATTTCCACTTAGAGGAAAACGTTTGTGGAAAATGAAAATTTGAGGCAATATTAGGAAAATTTATCTTTGTATGTGGAAGGACTAACTAAACAAAATGGCGTCCGGTTGTCAGGAAAATTTTAAAGAACATTGGCACCAGAAATTTTTATTACTTATATCTATTAGGTATACTTGCGGAATATTTAATTTCACATTTTGGCCGGTTTGTCGCGTTTAGTTGTTGAGAAAATTTGATAAAAACTTCAACCGTTGTCCGTCATTTTGAAAATAAGCGCATATGCTAATTTATGCCACAAAATACATTATCTGACGTCATTGGCTGGGTAAACACAATTTCATGACTATAAACAACACCTCGAGTATTGCCACGCGTAGTGTATTTTAAGCCGAAACAAAAGGCAGCAAAGTTTTACCAAGTATGTAACTTGTTTGTAACACTATTTCTCATAGTATATATCCTACTCCGTGTTAAATAAACGCAGAAATTCGAGTGTAAGAATACAAATACTAATGCAATATTTTATGATCAATTACCTGTATTGTAAATCGCGCCATTCCTTGCTTTCCCAGTCGCTCGATATGTTTTTATTTGTGAAGAGTGTTGGCCAGTATAACGCTCAAAACGACGTATTTTTAGCTAACATAACACGCACGCAATAGATTTCTCTCTTGTAGTTTTGGTGCTACCCATCCAATAACGTCACAAAGTTCATTGACTTTCGAGATAATTTTGTAAAAAATATTTCCAAGATGGCGGCGAAATACAAAGTTTGCATGCATTTTACGCGTAGACTAAAATGTTTGAAAACGAAATGATAATATTTTCATAGTTAGGTCGTTAAGTAGGATTGAAATAGCCAATAAAAATTTTCGGTGCCATTGTCCTTTAAAAAAAGGTTAAAACCGACCTACCCTCAATATGATAGGTTTTTACAAGAAGAAATAGGAAACCTACATGTATGTTTTTTGGCCTTATTGTACTATTAAAATATAATTAATCTAAATTCTCTGTATAATTTTGTTTAGAAAACCCCACAATATTCTTAGATTTTTTACGGCTTAAAAATTATAGTTGTTTATGCCAGTAATCAGTATCAAAATTTAATAATTTATGAATTGCCTGATTTTATTCACATATCATAACATTTTTATTGATTTAATTATATGATCTGATTTTGGCGTTGTTCCCTTTTTTTCTCTGTCCGTCCTACTGCCCAATTCTTTGAAATGCTGTTGCGTATATCATTTTGCAGCAGGTTCGCCGCAAACTCTTGTCTATTTTGCTGCCTTTCGCCTTCAATATATTTTACCCTATTTTCGACGGGTGGGGTGTTGCACAATATTTCATAGGTTTTTGTTCTGGTTAGAAACATTTAACAGTTCACTTGTGTCAGTAGTTCACTTGTTCATTTTTTTTATTATTATTGTGCATGCCTAGTGATATTTTACGATTTCCTGCAATCTGATTGGCTGCAGCAGCGGGCGGCTTTTTACTATATATTGACCGTGGTCCAAAAGTGTTATTTTTTAGCGACAAATTTGTTTGTCGCTAAAAAGTGCTATTTAAATTTTTTAAATTGATTTAAAAGCCATGTAAATTGTTCAAGGAGAAAACAAAATGTACTTAGATGATAGTACGTTATCATAGCGAGAGTAAATTTTACTATCCAGACAAGGTGAACGTACTTTGTAGAAAACAATCCAATTTCAGCCTCAAACAAGCCACATTGACCATCCGAATAGCGGAGGAATTACGAGCGACATTCAAGATTTCATTTTATCAAAGCGTCCTGAAAACACACTGAAGAAAACAAAATATGACATAAATATCTGGAAAAGATACCTTTGAATCCGAAAACGAACTACGAGAAGTATCCCGGCCGAAGAGTTAAACGTTCACCTTTGTCGTTTCTTTATGCAAGCAGAAAAGAAAAATGGCACGGCGTATGAACCTAACACTTTGACATGTTTCTTCAGAAGCATTCAGCGTTATCTTAATGATAAAAATTATCCGACAAATGTATTCAAAGATCAAGAGTTTAACAAAGCTAGAGAAGTGTTCTGAACTAAAAAAAAGAGGTGGTGAGCGAAACTTGAGAAGATCAACTTTTCCGCCTTGGCGAGTTTGGTGACAGCAATCCTGAAGCACTGCAACGTATTTCGAGTTTCGAGCACGAGATGAAAGTAGACGTCTAAAATGGGGCGACGTAAAACTGTGCGGAGACGAAGCAAACGGCGCGCGGTCAGTTTTTAGTTTGGCAGTATGAACGAGGGTCAAAAACACGCAATGGAAATGGCCAGCAACAAGCATTTAATCACACTGCAGAAGCAACAAACTGCGAACGTTGTCGTGTAAGATTTTACCAGGAGTTAATTTATGAGACGTCGACCAGATCCAGGTATCGAAGGCAACATCACCAACCACAGCGTTAGAAAAACTTGTGTTTCCCAGTTGACGGATGCAGATATCCGCACCAATCACGTAACTCAGTTGAGTGGCCAAAAAAACCTTAAAAGTCTTACAAATCGGCTTCTCGCGATCATCAACGAAAAATGTCAAATGTTTTGAGCAGGTCATCGACACCCCATCGCCAAACAACAGCGATTCCGTGCTCCAAAATACTCCGAATACTCAGTATATTACCATGAGTAATCGTGTAATGAATTACGACGCCAAATAAGCTGTAAATTCACAGGTTTCTGCGCTGTTTTCTGGAGCGTCCATTGGGAAAATCAAGGTTGTAATTTCAATATCCAGTACGTGACAAGCGAGGAAAGTACCGACAACAATCAGCCAACAACAAGCAAAAAGCGGACGAGTCCTTATTTAATAGCGACGACTCTGATTCGGATTAAAGGTTTTCAATTGTTTTCTGACTTGTTTTAAAACTTTTTACATGTTGTTGCATTGTGTATTCGCATGCAGCCAAACATTCGTTTATAAAACGTTGCATGGGCATGGTCGTTAATCTTTTTAAATCATGTGAGCAGGTTAATAATGCCAATATTATCATTCTAAATTATTATCAATATTTAACAATTATTGAATGAGGTTGAGCACGATATGAAGAATTATCAAGCCCAAATTTTGCCATTATCAACCGAAGCCGAAAGCTGAGGTTGATAACGGCAAACTGAGGGCTTGATAATTCTTCATATTGTGCGAAAACCGAATTAATATAATTGTTTTATTATTTATTTAAAAAATTTAAAACAATCGGAAGCCAATTGTATTTTATTTGTATTAAGAAAAAAAACAATAGACCTTTATAAAAAGGTTGACGTCAGCAGGCTTCTGACGTAGTTTGCGGAGAAAATCCCGAAAGCTCAGAGTTGTTTACTTAACTGTTTTGAGTTTTTTTAAACCCAAAAGAAGCGAGTATTATGGTAAGTTTGAAGTAAATTTTTCTATATATAGGCCAAATGAGTTTTCATATTCGTCGTAGTTTAAATTTTATTTGTTTTTATATTAGATTTTACATTATTTTACTGTCAACATTTAGCGAACTCAAATTCATCAGTCTATAAATCATCAGAATGGCCCCAATGAAGCTGGAGACTGCAATACACAGGTTCAGCGATCGTGCAAAGAGGTACATAAGTGAACTTAGACATAAGTCTATTGTTTTTATCGATATAGTTGAAGTGAACATACGTGACAAGTAGCTTTTTATCAATCGTGTATATAGTCTAGGACCTGTATATGAGTTTGTATGCATTTCATTTAGGACAGATAATCTCAACTGTTTTAGGGCAAGTTGACCATGACGGTCAATTTGGTAACGCTGTCCGAACCCCAATCCGGGGAGAAACGTCCGAAACTGACCACACCCAAAAACGACGCTTTCGCCATACTGCTATCTACCAAACCATAAAAGCTTTGGCTATTCTGAGGTGCTTATGTGGTTCAGAGATGGTACTTTTGGGGGTGGTCATTGGTAAGTGTGAAATGCCTAGCACTAATATTTCACAAGAAAATGACCACGCAATAATCATTATTAAACGTCAATTCGTGGCTTGCAACTTCAGATAAACAGCAGTGGACTTACATTACCTTTTTCCCTAAATCTTTTACAGAAACATAATTTTGCTTCTGTGATGTTACTCAGAGTAACATCACACAAGCATCTTATTCACCTGAGTACATTGCACCAACACAACAAATATCAGAAACATAATTGGTACTTATTTAAATATATTATCACTTGTTTGGTGTAAATAGTTAATATTTTCTGACCGAAATAATAATTTGAAATGTGCCTACCTCCTGCAAATGGATGTATTTGGCCAAGTTCTCCACTTTACTAGCTCCGCTGTTTATCGGCGATCTCGTCGACATCTTTCCAAAAATGTATATCATCACACACATAATGGTATCAAGAACATTTTAAACAAATTTCAACTTGGTTTCAAGTAGATCATAGCTGTTTAACCATCGACAAGGCAAATCCACAACTTTGTCCAAATTCGGCGACATTTTGTCATCCCGTGTCGGTTGTCAACAATTCGGCGTTGTTACTCTTCCATCCAAACCATTTCCATTCCACTAATAATAAATTTAACCCTTTATAACGGTACGAAACTAAAAAATCTAAACAAATATAAGAAATGCGGCATTTTATCACCCTGTAAAATGTTGCTCACGAGTCAAAACATTCCGTACAAATCTCGCGTGACAAAGTAACAGGGACGTGACAGGGGGTGTGTGAATTATTTCACGAAGATAGAAGAAGGCTGCGTGAAATAGACTAAAAGCTAAATACAATCATACAAACGTTTGTTTTATTTCTTGTAGCGACAAATATATACATATTATTATTTATTAATATGAACAAGTCATACAAATTAGATGTAGGTTGTTGGTTTTACCATACTGTGTGGGCTTTGCTTTCATTTTTCAAGTCTCCACCCCCCTGTCACGTCCCTGTTACTAAACCACGCGGGATTTGTACGAAATGTTTTGAAGGATTCGTAAGCAACATTTTGCAGGGTGATAAAATTCTGCAAGAATAACGAGGCCGAATTGTTGGCAACCTACACGGGATGGCAAAATGGCGCCGAATTTGGACAAAGTTGTGGATTTACCTTGTTGATGGTTAAACAGCTATGATCTACTTGAAACCAAGTTGAAACTTGTTTAAAATGTTCTTGATACCATTATATGTGAGATGATACACATTTTTGGAAGGATGTCGACGAGATCGGCGATAAACAGCGGAGTAAAGTGGAGAACTTAGCCAAATACGTCCATTTGCAGGAGGTAGGCACATTTCAAATTATTATTTCGGTCAGAAAATATTAACTATTTTACACCAAACCAGTGATAATATATTTAAATAAGTACCAATTAAGTTTCTATCAAAAAGATTTAGGGAAAAAGGTAATGTAAGTCCACTGCTGTTTATCTGAAGTTGCAAGCCACAAATTGACGTTTAACTATGATTATATCTCATTTGTGTCGGTTTTCTTTGATCGTCCGAGGTTTATAACTAGCTTATATACCTTGAATAAATGATTAGATTAAACTTGTAGACAAAACGCGAGAATTTTTCATTAAAATTTTTTGAAAATGACAAAATATGTTAGAAAACCTCCACAAATGTGATATAAGTTAGTTATAAACCTCGAAAGTCGGTTTATAACTGATATATAAAAGTTTATACCGAAGTACAGAACCCTATATAAACCCTATAGTATAGTATTTGTAAACAGCTCCGCTTTCGTTTGAGTGCCTCTGACACAAAAATTATTTTCAGTCTATTGAAAGTATTCATTTAGTATAGTGTTCTAGCGAAAGAATTTTTCGATTTCACCAAAACGAAAAAATTTTAGAGCCGTTTGAATCCAAATATTTTTGGCTAATGGCCGTCGGCGACAGAAGTCTGGCACTAGCATTTATTCTGACGTCACGCAAGTGAGTCGAGTCTTGATGGTCTGTTAAGTTATCTGTTTTAATCAGCTCGAAGGTTTTGATCGCCGAGGTGTTTAACTTTTTATATTCTAAGTTCTATAAAGTATCATGTCAACAGAATCAACAGAATCAGTCCGATGATTCCGGAGCGAATTTTATACCTGGTTAATATGTTGTATTGGAAGATGCTGATCTTGTAGCATCTCGTCAGGTCTCTAGTGGTATCATTAATATTACCAAATCTGCGACGCGGACGTGACGAAAAACTGCCGCTCTTATCACAGTTTCACTTCACGGATAAAAACTGTTGTTGGTAAACAAAGTCAGGGACACGAGAAAAACAAAGTAAAACTAGTCTCCCATTTATATTAGCGATTGTTTTTTAGTCGCGCCATGTCTCAGATTTGGCGCATCTTTAATAAGCTTCCTACTAACTGAGACGTTCTATGACTTTGCAAGGTTCATATCTCCGGTTCGGTGCATGCTATGAAGACAAAATTATTACCATTCGATTCAGTGAAACAAAATCTCCTTATTTCTAATGATAGTTTTAGTCAAATATAGTTTTAGTCAAATTGTAGTCAAATAGCTATTTATGACCTTTGAGAGGTCAAGCGGTATCATAATTCATTATATTACTCAATTAGTCTCAAACAATGTAAAGTAGCCATACCTTTAGCCGACCATAACTTCGGTCCCTTTGGACATATCTTTTTCGTAATAGTCTTATTCGAACCGGAATCCAAAACACTATTTAGAGTGTTATTTTCAAGCTTGTGTCTTCAGATTTGCATCTTTTATTTCGGTATTACAAAATATTTATATTTTTAGCTGGCCCGCAAAACCGAAATACAATTACAAATTGAATAATCAAAACAAAGCAAATCATCGTCAGTCTTTATTAGTTTCAGATAGTTAGGCTTGCCGAGCCCCGGCAACGAAAAAAATAGCCTCTAGTAATCCGCTGTTCTACAATTATTCGAGCATACAGTCGAAGTCTTTAACGGCACAAACAAACGCTTTGCGCATACAAAATCAACCCATACTTTTCTTCGTCTTTTAGCTTCCGCGTGTTCGTCATTGAAGTATGGGATAGTGCGTAGACTTATTCCATCTTTTAAACATGCTTTATTGGTACAGTTAGCTGCAACACAGTAAAAAGGCATATCTTTTTCGATCAGAAACCTACCTATATATCCGCCGTGAGTTAATAGTACTAGTATAGTCGAATAATAGAATATACGCCGACTCACTTGCGTGACGTAACAAAAACCGCTCGTTCCAGTTTCCTTCGAACACGGACGCCTGCCAACCAAAAGCCCAAATTTTGCGTGTTCAAACGGCTCTAAAATTTTTTCGTTTTGATGAAATCGAAAAATTCTTTCGTTAGAACACTATACTAAATGAGTACTTTCAATAGACTGAATAAAATTTTTTGTGTCAGGGGCACTTTAAACTTTTAAATCTCTACACTTCAGCCATTTTAAGTTATTTTTGGTAGCTTTTTCAATATCCTTGCCAATTTTTGACCAAGGTATGTCCTTTCTGTGAAATATTTCGATAAAAATAATAGACTTATTAGTCTTACGAGTCATTGTGTACAAGATGTACTCAGAGTCTAAGTTTACTTTTGTACCTCTTTGCACGATCACTGAACCTGTGTATTGCTGTCTACAGCTTGATTGGGGCCATTCTGATGATTAGACTGATGAATTTGAGAAACAAGAAAGAAAAATGATACTTTTTAACAACGAAAAATGTAAACCGAGGGGTCCGACACGGCTGAAATCTCGTACACTCGACTCAGAAATCAACACAAATCAAACCCGAAATCAGGAAATCACGAGAGAAATTAGTGAATTTTGAAATCAGAAATCACTAAAACTTCGTTATTATTGAGCCCACAGTCTTATATGACATTGGTAACTCACAAAACTCAGGAAATCGGGTTAGAAATCATGAAATCAGGTCAGAAATCACGTTAGAAATCAAGAAATCGCATTATATAGAAAATTTACTTCAAACCATAATACTGGTTTCTTTTGGCTATTAAAAAACTCAAGACAAGTAAACAACTATGAGATTTCGGGATTTTCTCCGCAAACTACGTCACAAGCCTGCTGACGTCAACCTTTTTATAAAGGTCTATTCTCTAGTCCTTTGGCAACCGTCGTCGTCGTCATATCAGACAGGTTCAGATTTGACTTCCACTACCGCTACCTTAAATGTGCTACGCATGCGCAGTAACTGCAAGAGCGTGAGGAAATCGTCGCATGTTTTTGTTTTGGGACTGTAACAAAGCGATTTATGGTCGTCGGGAGACGTATAATCTGAACAGGTCTAAACAGTCCGTCGCGACCGCTACCAATGGAGCCGTCAAAGGTAGCGGTAGTGGTAGTGGAAGTTGAATCTGAACCTGTCTATCAATGGCGTCAGCGAGTCAATATGATTCTCGTCGTCATAGTAATATGGCGCAAATGCGTCCAAATTTTTTTCATATTGACTCTTTGACGTCATTTTGCTATTGTGAATGTGAAAAATCCATATTTGGTTAGCCTTTGAGTTGATAAGACAATTTCACAGTTGGCTGTTAGGCAATCAGAAACCATTGCTTAAATAAATTATATCAACAACATTTCCTTTACCTTCGTAGTAAAGTTCGTTGTTTTCCCATGCAAATTTCCGCACCTATATCCATTTAGCACGTATTTTACAGCATAAATCGGTTAATCATGAAAATAAAAAAATAAACACGTTATTTACCGTTTAGGTCGGTCCGTACTGACAAAATATTTTTCCTCGGGCTCAGAAGCGTCCCTCGGCCTTCGGCCTCAGGCCGCTTCTGAGACTTCGGGAAACTTTTTTTTCAGTATGGACCTCGCAGCCGGTAAATAACATATACATGCATGTTTGCAATGAATGCACTAGTTTGTCTCAGGGCCGCCCCCTCAGATATTTTTCCAGGAAGGAACAGGAAGGAATTCCATTTTCATGTTGAAAGGAATTTTAAGGTAATTTCAACCGACTGACCCCCACCTCCTGTATAGTTTTGCCGACCATGCCGACTAAAATAGCAGTCCTGGCAACTGATTGAGATATGTCAAACTGATCATATATAATTAATTAATTTAAATCAATAAAAATGTCAAGATACGTGAATGAAATCAGGCAATTCATAAATTATTAAATTTTGATACTGATTACTGGTATAAACAACTATAATTCTCAAGCCGTAAAAAAATCTAAAAATATTGTGGGGGATTTTCTAACCAAAATTATATTGAGAATTTAGATTAATTATCTTTTTACCGTAATTAACAAAATAGTATTTAATAGTATAATAATAAAAATATACTGACAGTGTCACAGTGACAGACTCTGTCCAAATATTCCAACTGTCCACTCTCTTTGTGTTTGAAAGTATGCTGAGTATAACGCCTCCCAAGGCCGTAGCTAGAACGCTAATTGGGGGGGGGGGGTATTTCGCGTTATGCCCGACTGATTTCTTTGAAATTGATTGCTTTATTATGAATATACACCCCCAATTATCGTGTCTAGCTACGGCCCTGACGCCTCCAAACGTGATTTACTTAATTAAGTTAATCTATGTCTGTTAGTTTAAGTTTAAAGCTCGCAGAGTTTCTACAGAATGAGACAATATTTGAGACAATATTCTTACTCGCGCCTCGGAACTTGTCACTCGCGCCATTTTCGTTCGACCCGCGCTATTTTTGCTGGACCCGCGCCATTTCTAGTGACTCGCGACCCGCGCGATATAGACTATCCCCTAAAAAACAGACGTACCCCTGCTCTGGAAAATTTATATTTACGAAATTTTTTTGTTTATTCTACATTTATCAAAAAATATCAGTTTTATGACATGAACTGATTTGTGAAATTAAGAGCCGTTTCAAAATTGTCTATACTTTTTTCTGATACATCCTGTATATCAGAATACCTTATTATTGCAAATAGAAACAAATGATGCAGCATATACCTAGAAACGACTAGCCTGCGAGGAGACTCTTAAGGTGAAATGAGAGCCTGCACTGACGACATACAATTTTGAATATCTACCCCGTAACGTTCGTTTTTCCAAATATGAAATTTCTATCCTTATATGGTGTTATTTACAGCTTTAGATTTTACAGCAATTAAATTTAGTCCGTACAGTTTATACTGTTTTTATTATAAGATATTTAAGCATATTTAAATGTTTTAAATACTGTTTTCCCAAAACAGAACATTTCGTGCTTTGACATAAGATGGCCAAGACCAATTTGATCAGTTAATGCGTTTTTTATGCATAGTGCTTCAAAAGTTGACATATATATTATAGAGCTCAGCGGAACATATAAATTATAGCACCATTCGCGTCCAAATTCGAGACGCAGATATTCAAAATATTATGCTATCAGTACAGGCTCTCATTTCACCTTGACAGCCTGCTCGCAGACTAAGGAACGACCTATACGCTATGTCGCTACTGGGGAGCTTGCTGAATACAATGGCTAAATGTGGTGTGCAATTGTACCCTGAACGTGTTTAAATGCATGAAATAACGTTTTTCAGACTTGAAAATCGAACAATGGCGGACGGCAGCGAAATTTTAAACTCGCCTACAGTAAGGAATTTTAGTCTTGATCGTGTTGATATACCATCAATAAAATTGCTAAACATTAATACACACTTAGTCTATGATGGTACACGTATAAAGTGGTCAAATGATCTGATATCTCTGAAGAATTTTACCGAAAATGTTGTCGGTTTGGTTGGTTGCTGGAGGTCGCCCGGTGGCAAATCTAAACAGTTTGTAAGCAATGACCTAGATCTGACAATGACTTGGCACCCAGGTAAGCAAAATTCTTTGCTGTTCAGCGGGAAAGACGGTGAATCCTTAAAGAAATTATTGATAAGTATTCTGAACACGCCAAGCGATACTACACATAAAATACCGGACGAGCCAAAATCATCGACAGGAGAATCGCGTGACATTGGCAAAATTACTAATTCTAGTGAATGCCCAAGCCAGTCTATAGCTGAAATAAAAGCGATTAAGGATAAAATTGACGGTGTATTTGTGATTGTAAACAAGCTTTGTTATTCTACAACTAGATTACTAAATGAATTTTCTGCAATTCTCGCCAGAAAGGATCTTCTCGATTCCACTACCCAAACTGATTTCGAAGTACATAACAATGTCGGATTAAATATAGCTGATGCCACAAACGCGACAGAAAACCAGTGTACATACACGCTTAGTGGTTTATCGACCGAAATTGAAGGTCTCAAACTAAACATCGTAATCACAGAATCAAATATTTTAAGCAAAGTTCAGTCTAACAATCAAGCGATTGAGCAAATTCGTCACGACCTAGACTCAATCAAAAGCCATCAGAGTAAAAGTAACTTCATTTCAGAGAATAATACTGCCCCAATAACAAATTCTGAATCAATTAATGTTAGACCTACAGCTAACTCAACCAAGATTGATAGTACTGCTACGATTCCCATATGTAAACATGGTTCAAATCAGTCTTGTGCTCAATTACGGTCAACCGTAATCTGCCAACAAAATACCAACCCTCCCGGAGTAGCCCAGTTTTGTTCTGTTAGCAGTAACAAGCCAAATAACAAGTTAACGCTCCAGGCCTACCCTAATTGTAACAAACACGTTACCCAGCAAATCGAAGGTGCACCAGGAATAAATAAAGGTCAACAGAATCATTATAAAGTATGCAAATCCACCTCCGACCATAAATTAGAAACTCCCAAGGCCAATCCTGAAGTAATTAAAATTGGATCGACTGCTAACACAACCAGACCCCTTAGCGTAGGCGCTTGTTCTGCTAAATATGAATCAAAGCAGTATTACGCTCATCATTACAACTTAGTCAGTCCTGTAAAACAAAGTAATTCCCATCAACATTCCCAAGCTGTTTTTCGCCCACAATCAAATGTCAGTTGTGTGAAGCCAAAACCAAGAAATAAACAGAATGTACAACATATTTCAAACCTTAGTTGTGCTAATACTGGCGAAAGTCAGCCGGCACCAAGTGGGACCGGATCTTTGAAATGGTTGGACCGCCTACCTCTGGTTGAAACGCTTAACGCGACAGTTAGTAACCCCATGCATACATCTCGAAGTGGGGCCGAACCCCTTGATTGGATAGGACGGTTGCCCCTACTTGTTAATTACTCGACACATGCGCCTCGCTTACGCCAGACTCAAAGGAATGAAACAGGAAAGATGAACCGGCATACGTTTTTTCGGTCGCGATTCAGCCAGCAGGCAGACTGGTTGAATTACCTGGAGTTTGTCCGTCGCACATTGCAATAAACTTGGAGATCCCTGTCGCAGCTAGTAACAACACTATAATCACACCAGAACGAAACACTATACCAGTAAGAATTACATCTTACCATGAATTCGAAGGTCAGCAGTCTAGCGCTCCGTGTTATAATGAACATATTCCTAATACTAGCAAACGAAACCGTAGCGGAACGCGTAATCTAATTGAAATTCCAATCAAGAATCCATCCCTATATCAAAGCACGTCTCTATATCAAAGCCCAAAGTGCGCCCAAAGTAATTTACTGACATTCCTTCTCTCAAATACAAGATCACTTTTACCAAAGGTAGATGAATTAAAAATTATACTTGACCAATATGATGTGAGTATGGCCTTCATAACCGAAACATGGTTAAATGAGAAAATCGACGATGCAGCAGTTTGTATTCGCGGGTATTCAATAGCAAGATGTGATCGAATTGATAAACTTGGCGGTGGAGTTTGTGCTTTTATTAACTCAGACATCCCGTTCAAAATTCTAACAGAATTTAATGACATCAATTTTGAAACCTTATGGATCTATGTACGACCTTATAAACTTAATCGAGGCTTCTCGTGTTTGATCGTCTGTGTGGCCTATAAATCTCCATCCAGCGACAACGCCGCGTTTATAGATCACCTCAGCTCAACACTTGACCTCGCTCTCAGTAAGTACCCAAATGCAGGTATATTTTTACTCGGAGATTTTAACAGATGTCCTGTCTCATCTTTATTAAGACATTTTACTTTGAAACAAATCGTAAAACAACCAACCAGGAAAGATGCTGTCCTTGATCTTATTCTTACTACTATGTCAGACACATGTGACCCTCCTAAGGTGATCGCACCCATCGGACTCAGCGACCATAATTCCGTTTTATGCATTTTAAAAAAATGTAAATCATTGAACGGATGCAAGAAAATAAACATTAGACCCGGTAACAGAGGTGCCAAAGTTGCATTTGGAAGATGGCTAACGAACTATAATTGGACTAACCTGTATCGTACTGCACTGTGCGAACAAAAACTGGAAATTTTTCAGGATGTTATTCATACCGGCTTGGACCACTTCCTTCCATGTAAAGTAGTTAAAATGCACGACCGAGATAAGCCTTGGATAACACCTTCATACAAGGAACTTATTAAAAGCAGACAGAAGGCATTTTTTCAGAAAAATGACAAATTGTACCGGCGACTACGTAATCGTGCCAATCGAGAAAGTAAGTACCTTAAATCTGCATTCTTAGAACATAAATTGAAACAATTGAAACGTAACCCTGATCCTAAGAAATGGTGGGACACCGTAAAACAAATAGCTGGCTACCCTAAGAAGAAATCTTTTTCAAGTATTGTCCTAGGAGAGCAAGTCGTCTCTGGAAAGCAACTTGCTGAAAAAATTAACGAGGCTTTTGTATCCGTTACTCGAGATATTCCTCCCCTTAGTCCTATCCCTTTCCCCGATAGCCAATTACAAAGCGATTGTACTACCATTCCAACCGAGTACATTATTAGGGAAGAAGACATTTATTATAAATTATCTTCAATATCATCCTCGAAAGCGGCTGGTCCAGATGAAATACCGAATTGGGTCCTAAAAGATTATGCGCCCCTGCTGTCTTCCCCTGTTACTTCAATCTTCAACGCCTCCCTTCAACAGGCGTCTGTTCCCGCGGTATGGAAAGCCGACGTCATCCCTGTACCTAAAAATAAGGTGCTGAGGGACATTACTAAAGACTTGCGTCCCATCTCGCTTACTGCCACTTTGTCAAAAACGTGTGAACGTTTTGTCGCAGACTGGCTGATGGAGTTGATTGGTGAGAAGATCGATAAACGGCAATTTGGATCTCTAAAAACTCTTCAACAACACATGCGTTATTGAGCCTTCTCCATCACTTATTAAACGAAACTGATGTGCCGAAAAACGCTGTGAGAATTTTTTTATTAGACTTCTCCAAAGCTTTTGATCATATTGATCATAACATCCTCCTCAGTAAATTATCTGATATGGACGTTCCATCATTAATAACAAACTGGATAAGAAGTTTTCTTACTCAACGAAGCCAACGGGTCAGAATGCCCCATTGTGTGTCAGAATGGCAAATCCTCAACGGTGGAGTACCCCAGGGAACTGTTTTAGGCCCAATCCTCTTCCTAATCATGATAAATGATCTCCTCGCCGATTGGAAAGACCGATGGAAATACGTTGACGACACCACCACTACCGAAACCATTGGCCCAGATTGTAACAGCAACCTTCAAGAACTGGTTAATTACATCAATAATTGGACTACGAGTAATAATATGAAATTAAACATTGGAAAATGCAAAGAACTGGTTATTGATTTTGCAAAAAAGAAGCATTGCTTTCCCCCTTTAACAGTCGATAAAGTTAATATTGAACGAGAGAAATCTTCCCGTATCCTTGGGCTCACAGTTCAAGATAACATGAAGTGGAATGAACATATAAATAACATAGTTAAAAAAGCTAGCAAGAGGCTCTATATGCTAAGACTGTTAAAAAGGTCCAACGCGTGTATTGACACGTTAATTACTGTATATACTACCATTATTAGGCCTGTTTTAGAGTACGCATGCCAGGTCTGGCATTACAATATCCAACAATATTTATGTGACGATATTGAAAAAATACAAAAACGCGCGTTGAGAATAATCCTCCCATCGCAAAAGTACGACGAAGCGCTGATCACGACTAACATCACGTCACTGAGAGATCGACGAAAAAAATTATGCGAACATTTCTTTGAGAAGAATATTGACAATGAAAATCTCAAAGATCTTTTACCACAAACAGTTTTATCTGGATATGATCTAAGACCGATATGTAAATATCATAATTATGTTTGCAGAACCGAACGATTTAAGAATTCGTTTTTACCTCAAAGTATATTAAAGATTAACAGTAAATAAGTTTTTAGAAATGTAAATAATCTTAAATATGTAATTATTATGTAATTTTAACTTATCCTCTTAATTTATGTAATACTGGTGTAATTTAACCTTTTTGGGTTACAAAGTCAGTAGTTATTAAATCAATTCAATTCAATTCAATTCAAATATACATGCATTTGGGCATTGTATAGTTAAACAGCATGTTTACGCTCATGACTAGGTATAAATGAGCGCTTCGAACAAACAATAAAATTATATTAAGTTTACGTTTATACTGTTAAATTATATTAAGACTTACCTATGTTATCTTAATTCTTAGTTAAATATATATATCAACTGAAACTCGAGATCCACAGATGTTAGAAGATGACTACGCCTTTACTTTGATCTTCAGATATGAACGCCAAGCCGGATATCAATTATTAAGAAACGTAATGCATGAATGCAGCGATTTTATTAACTATAGAAAATATATGACGGGTTTGACTTTATATAGTGTATATGTTAAAGGCATGCAGGTGATTGGACAAAGCGTGCATGCAAAAACAAAACTAATTTTGTATCGAAATACCGAGAAATGAAGACGGTCAACCGATTCTTGGAGAGTTCTTGGAACAACCGCATGTTTGCCATGGGCTTTGTTCCCCGAATTATCGGTTCATCAGCTCTTTCAGAATTTACAAATAAATCTGTTTTCAATAGAGATTATGTAAACCAAACATCCAATATGATACTCAATCTGCCAATTGTTCTTCTCTTACATGCCTCCTATTTTAAAATATAAACATGATCTTTACGCCTACTCTTTATAGGATCTCATACCTGGGGTATTTTAATGCTCTATTATAGGTACTATTGCAAAGGTGGGTAGTAGCGAAGTAGTTGTCGTTCGCTACTGTAGCGAACTACAATTTTCAAGTAGCCAGTAGTTTTTGACTACTAGCTTTATTAAAACAGTAGCGGGTAGCTGTAGTTATAGCGAACTACATTTTGCCTAAAAGTGGCCAAGTAGTTGACTACTTTTCAAACAGCAAATCGCTATTCGCTACTTTTTAAAATTGTTAGCAACTTGATAGAATAGCATGATATTGAGACACGGTTTACTTAACATCAATCCTCAATAGTCAATTGCACTCTTGAACACTGTAGTCTTTACAAAAATGCTGCTTTGTGTTTACTGTTGCTATACTCGTAAGTCGATTTGTTATAGGTTACATTTCAGCTGAGTTAGTAGATGCTCCAAATACAGTAAAACTAAAAAATATAGCGTAGCGAAATAGCGAAATAGTTTGCTAGCCACATTTTTTAAGCAGTAGCTGTAGTCAGTAGCGAACTACCTTTGTTCAAAAGTAGCAGTAGTTGTAGCTGACTACATATTTTTAAAGTAGCTGCAGTTATAGCGAACTACAAAAATTTTGTAGTCAACCCAGCCTTGTACTATTGTTATATCTCGTAATAATTCCAGGGGCGGATCTAGGGGTCGTCAAATCAGTCGCGCGACTGAAGTAAAAATTGCCCGCTCCCAAAATTTGACTCCAACTATCTATAGTGGCCAGTAGATCGAGTTACTAAAATTTTGAATCGTACCGGTAGTCCAGTTATACATTTCATGCTGCGGCAGAGCTTCGGCAAAGTAATGTTAGTCAGTCACGAACAGCGGTCTTACGCATGAAAGTTGACGGATTCGGGGGTTAAATCTGGCTATCTGATTGGCTAACACGCTCATTTCCATGGCTACGGCCATTTGCGACGGATCTGTGGGGAGGCCTGACTGATTTGCAGATTCAGGGGCTCTGTATGAGCCTTCTGATTGAACCATTTAAAAAAAATTCTGCACTGTCATTGGCTTATATTTTCGACGGATTCGCAGCGTGAGGTATTCGTCAACACGGCAATATTGTGTTTACCACTGAGTTTAACATTTCGAACGTTTACTATTACGAGCGATTTCTAGGCCTACCAGCGATATCTGGAAACATTTTCGACAATGTTCAGTTTGCGATTGCGGCAAACGATTTTGAATCTCTATACAACGTACGTTTGTATACGGAGCTTGAAAAGAATATCGATGCCTCACGGACGAATTTTGTTTACAAGCCACTGAGTGGCGCCAGCGACAACACAAGCAGAAGCCTCGCTAGAAATTTTGGCGCAGAGAGGCTGAGAGAGCTACTGCTAGAGAAAGACAAAGCTTGCACTGCAATAAGGTAGATAGATAAATTATGGTTTTAGAGTGATGTATCTTCAGTTCACATTAAAGGTTTATAAACCGGAGTACCAAGCCATCGGTGTTGTTAATGATTGTCTGACATATGATATTTTAATATATTCGCTAGCTGCATGCATTGCTGTATTAGCATAATTCTCGCATCAAAAAGCTAAAATATGTTAATATTCAATGTCTACATTGTAAGCATTTGTTGATTCTCGTGTTAGTGAAGTTTTATTTATATCACACATGTACGCGTTATTAACGCGTATACGTGTATTGGTTTATCCATAGCCTATCGACATGGCTTGTTAGACCGCATTGGTCTAACTATGGTCTGATGTAACATGATGATGTGAAATATTTTATTAGGTAGCTTGAAAAGCTCATTGACTGGTAGTCATTCTGATGTTACTAATTTATTAATAGTATATTTTGTGTTCAATATATATAAACCACAGTATAGACTTTATTTTATGTTCTGTCTAAATTTGGATAGATTTGTGTCAATTTGTGCACGTCCAGGTTCTTTACTGTTTTGATCTATTTTTCGAAGTTGTCAGGTCTTCCTAGCCTTGTTTATTATGTTTCAATAGCTATTTGATATTCTATGAATTGTTATATGTTTTATAAAATTTGCAAGCAGCTAATTAAGTATGTTTGTGAAATACAATACAACGAAAACTTCGAGGAATTTGTTTGCTTGGCTTCAATTCGTGTGATGACTTTGATCAGGTAAATCGAAGTTTTCGTTGTGTTTATTATCTATTTAAAATTAAAGGGCCCACAGTAATTGGTAACATATACTGTTGTGGTGACCCTGCCATGAATGCATGATAATTGCGAAGTTAAATAAATAAATAAATATTAATTGTAAGGGTTTAGTTTATTAATATTTGACTTAACATCTTTGACTTAACATCAAATGTTCGTTTGAGTTTATTAATCCAATCTAAATATGTTTCATAATTTGGTTAATTAGGATTTAGGTTAATAGGTGTGTGTGGGGGGGGGGGGGCAAATCGCATTTTATATACGGAAAATTCTAAAAATCCGGTGGCGGACTATCAGCATAAAAAATATTTAGCGCCCACCCCCCCCCCCACGCCTGGAGTCGACCACGCCCAGTCGAGACCACGCCCAGCGCTGATAACGCCCTGTCCACCAAAAAAAAATTTGACTGAAGTACGAAAAATCCTAGATTCGCCCCTGAATAATTCGTTCAGCTCTTCTTGCAGACGAAGCTTCGCTCAAAACGAAACGTCGAAATTCTCCTTATATTTTTCAAGTATAAATCATGCACTTATTCCCCTTATTGACTTTATAGCGTATATATGCTAAAGGCAGGTGATTGCACAGAGCGTGCATGCAGAAACGAAACTAATTTTGCATCGTAATACCGAGAAATGAAGACAGTCAACACCAGAGCTAGTTCTTGGAGAGTTCTTGGAACAACCGCATGTTTGCCATGGGCTTTGTTCCTCGAATTATCGGTTCATCTGGCACATATACAAAGACAGATAGATATAGAATATAGCTCTTTCAGACTGATTTACAAATAAATCTGTTTTCAATAGAGGCCATGCATGTACACCAAACATCCAATAATACTCAATCTGCCTTGTTTTTCTCTTACAAATGCCTCCTATTTTAAAATATGAACATGACCTTTACGTCTACTTTTTATAGGGTTTCATACCTGGGTATTCGAATGCTCTATTATATAGATACTATTGTTAAAGCTCGTAATAATTCGTTCAGCTCATCTTTGCAGACGAAGGACCTTCGCTCGAAACGAAACGTTAAAATTCTCCTTATATTTTTCAGCTCTAGTGTAACTGCATGCACTTATATATTCAAAGTCAAAGACTCGTTTAAGAACACAATCACCATGCACACTACAAACTTATTGGCCTCCATTAATCTAGCTAGTACCAAATAAAAACGACACTGATTCACATAACCCAACTCGTTACTCAAGGCATTTGCAATTTCCTGAGCATCTTTACTGTAAAACATTTGTTTGTATAAACTATGCATGTAAACTATATTTAACAATAGATAAGATTTTGCCGTTGTCTGTTCAGTTATAGATGCACAGTGCGGCGTCTTAATGTGGGAAGTAATATATGAACAACGAGAGCGAGTGTTTCACCGGGATATCCAAACACGAGAAAACAATGTATGAGAACACGAGCGCGAAGCGCGAGTGTTTTCATACATTGTTTTCGAGTGTTTGGATATCCCGGTGAAACACTCGCTCTCGTTGTTTATATGGCTTCTCAAATGAATCGAGACGTAACAGAATGTTTTCGTTTGCCGATTTGAATAGAATTCTTAACCAAGCATAACGTAATTAGGAATGCTATTCAAGTAATTTTGCATGCGTAATTAAGATATTTGATGAAAACACTAGTGACTTTCATCAAGTATCCAAATGGCATCTTGTGATCAAATAGGTGATTATCATTGGCTGAATTACTCATGAATTATTAATGAATTTGAGAAGCACAAATCAAAGACCGTTGAGGCCGACCCACAGATGAGATCAAATGAAAGTGAGAGAAAGATTTGGAGAATTTTGTAGTTGTTTCCGCAACCGGGAACCATGCGAAATTTGCAATTTGTCGTGCTCCGTTTGCCAAATCAAAAGAACGCTTGCTCCAGCCCGATTTTCGGTCCTAAACTATAATAAATATCCTGCTTATAACATTAATGATTAATCATCATCGTATTTTCATGGAATTAAATTTATCCTCTGAGACTTTTTCGGTTCAGGTGGCTTGGAAATTTTTGGGAAGTACTTTCCGTGAAATTCTTAAATATATCCAAATGTCTTTTTAACACGAAAAACTATCATTTTAGTGTGATTTTGTAGTTTGTTACTGTTGTTTAAAAATTAAAACTGCCAGCATTTACTGCGGATTTCGATTTACCGTTTCAGCGCTTTAATTTCCGGTAATTGTTTTCCCGTTGAAACATATACACGTTTCTAACGGTCAATCTCAATGTTACTAAGTGAAGTCTAGTGGTCTTTGTCCGCTGTTTTCTTGTCCGTTGTTTATATCATTTGTAAATGTAATTGTTATATTCGTGTTTATCTCGTCTTTGGCAACATTTTGATATATAATTTACAAAGCTTTGTGGATCATTTCATGTTTTTATTGATATTTTGGAAATTGTAGCGTATAAAAGGCTTCAAAATTATTTACTGGCCTTTTATAGGCTATACGCTACAATTTCCAAAATATCAATAAAAACATGAAATGATCCACAAAGCTTCGTAAATTATATATCAAAATGTTGCCATGCAATGACGAGATAAATACGAACATAACAGTTACATTCACAAATGATAAACAACGGATAAGAAAACAACGGGCAAAGACCACTAGACTTCACTTAGTAACATTGACATTGGCCCTTAGCAACTTGTTCGTTTTAACGGAAAAACAATCACTGGAAACGGAAGCCCTGAAACGGTAAATCGAAATCCGCAGTTACATATACACATGTTAAATATAGATATAATTATTATGAAGGACGAAAGGCATGTAGCCTCATGTATAGGATATTGTCTGAGATTTTCTATAGCACAAGTATTGGACGCGTCACGCGTGTAAGCATTTATAAGGACGTTTACAGTTCTGCGATTTGTTAAGCCGATTTTAGGTTTTGCCCGATTTTTGGCTGATAATAATTTGCCCGAGGTTTCCTCGTATATTTGAAGGATCGTGAAAGTGGTCAAATCCTATGAATCGGCCCGATGGATCGCATGTTCAGCGTGTGAACGAATTATACAAATAAAACCAAACTTTCAGTGTTTTTAATCAAACAAATCCAAGAAACGAATCGCGCAATCACATTGCAATATCTTGACTTCATTAATTAACCAAAATAAAAAAAATCCTTTCAGTTGTTAAATTCCTGCAATACTTCCGATTTAGTTCCAGAAGTGGTTTTTCGAGTATACTGCAATGCGGAATAAAACTAGCAAGATGCAAAAACAAGAAAAAGTTTCCGACGCGCGACCTCGCCTCGTATATACAGCGAACCAACACAAATAGTAGACATTTTTGAGGCAGCTGAAACTTCTATTGTAGTCGTATAGCGAATCAAGTTATTTCGTTTAAAGCCCGTCACACCAGGGCGTAGTCGTCACACTATTGGAGTATTGCGTATCGCACTATAGCGCATGAAAAATATCACTTATACGCTGGAAAACACTGACATACGCTAGGGGTACGTTAGGGATAGGTAATTGTATACGTTTCAAGCACGGTCGCATACAGGGCGCTTATATATAGGGCGGCGCAACGAGAGCGCGCGCGCTGATCGACGTGTGATGCGGAAAAAAACTGGGGCTAGTACGATTTTGAAGGAAATTGAAAAAACCCGCGATTTTGAGTTATTCAGTTCGTCTGGCCATTTCTCTCAATCTTTTTGGTGTGAGAATGATTTAAATGGCAAAATAGTTAAAGTATTTCTTTGGCTAAAGGGTCTGTGTGCTGTAATGGTAAAATAGCTTGTACAAGAGAATTTATGGTCGATAATGTCCGTGCCTTTTTATGACTTCCATGGAGACTAAATTTCAAATGAGGATATCTTGTGTGAATCGACTGCCAACACCTACGAACTAAGGTATGTTAGAGTTCATTATTTTATGTGTTCGTATTTGAATCTTTCATAAAAATCGAAGTTGATTCTTAGAAGATATCATGGCTGAAATAAGACCCTTTTTCAGGCCCTGTTTTTTCCACTTTTGCCGGGCATATTTTTTGAATGTTGTAAACAATACGAAGTATTTTGACCAGCTGTTATTCGCATTAGTTCTGTCGATGTATTGCCAAAGTTTCATAAGTATTGAAGCATTTTTGATATGTTTTCAGAGCACATTTATCACATAGTTCTGTGCAGCACGAACCTAGTTATTTGAGAATATGCTGGGCGCTTTATAGGTTATAATTCTGCCAACACCGTAGTTCTTCTTCGGATGCCAGGCGAGAAGTATTATGTTGGATATTCGTTGAAATAAAATAGTTTGAGATTGATTCTTGGCCTCTATCTAACTTGTAATCTGGGGTACTCGATCGAAGGTTGATGTTTCTTCTATCGAACATTGAGCAAAAGCTGATCAAATGCATTGCTTTCGCACTTTCAAAAGTCTTTTGCAGTGAAAATGTCGTCAGCAGTTTTAACCGAAAAATTTGGAAAATCTAATATTTTAAAACAAAAACTTCAAACTCAATTTATTTTATCCTCGATTTTATCCAAAACTTCGAGAGTGTTATAGTTATTGTATACTATAATTATAATAACACTGGGTATAAAATAGATTTGGATCTTGTATATTTTTATGGTTTCCACGAATGTTTGTGTTTCGGACAATATAAGATGTGCTGATGAATCGAGGCTGCAAGATTTAATACACTGTGTTGGATAAAAATGTTTGATTATTTGATGTAAAAGTCTAGTAGTCAGGTCTTAATAAGTTCTCTAGTTTAAAGTCTATAGGCTATACTCTGCTCTAGTGCTAAGTTCTTTTATACGACGTCCAAAAATAATGCAATATGATCGACTACAAACTGTATATTAAACTATAACATGATATTGAAGTGAAATTTCGTTCGTTTTATTTATTGTTGTTTAGTTCATGTTTGATAATGATAATAAAAAAGCTACCGACAACTTATTCAGTTGAAACAACGTTAAAAACCGGGTGAAATGAAGTTAATTTCACAATTTTTAATATTTGTTTTTATTACAGCGTTGTTGCTATGCAGGTTGCTAAGACATAGAGCGATGTTAAGTTAAGATTGACTACCACTGACCGTGTAGTGCAGGAAATTGCTTACCAGGCCCCGCATCACACGTCGATCAGCGAAATCACTGGCGTTGCGCCGCCCTATACACCCTTTTCATAAATGGCTGCCGATTAAAAATTCTTTTATGTGCATATAAATTGGCCCAACTAGCCTCGTACTCATGTTAAGATTTCAAAGGAATTTCTACCCAGAAACGAGGCTAGTTGGGCCAATTTATATGCACATAAAAAAATTTTTAATCGGCAGCCATTTATGAAAAGGGTGTATATATAAGCGCCCTGGTCGCATACGTTTGCATCCGCGAGGCAGAAACTTTTTTTCAAGCATGCTTAAAAATTTTGTGCGTATTCGGACGTATGGTTCATACTGTACGCTACGCATACTCTAGGTACGCCAGATGTATACTGCGGGTACTCATACGCTGGAATTTCACACGGGATTTTTGTGTGTATGAAAATTATTTCACGCAATATAGTGTAACAGGGCCTTCAAGGTCTATACATGTATATCAGTATAGTATTACATATACGAATCTGCATTTTCTCTGTGCCTCATGTGCAAATATACTGCCATTGGCCATTGTAGTTAAATATACAGCATGTTTACACTCACTATAACTATATGAGGCATAAATGAGCGCTTCGAACAAACAATAAAATTATATTAAGTTTTAATATAAAAGGTCTCAATTTCTCTAAGTTTGTCGAATTCAATTAGTTCGGTGACTTACCTGCGTTGTCTTATAATTCTTAGTTATATATATCAACTGGAACTCGAGATCCACAGATGTTAGAAGATGACTACGCCTTTAGTCTGATCTTCAGATATGAACGCCAAGCCGGATATCAATTATTAAGAAACGTATAATGAATGCAGCGATTTTATTAACTGGAAAATATACGACGGGTTTGGCTTTATAGCGTATATGTTGAAGGCAGGTGATTGGACAAAGCGTGCAAAAACGAAACTAATTTTGTATCGGAATACCGAGAAATGAAGACGGTCAAAACCAGAGCTATATAGTTCTTGGAACAACCGCATGTTTGCCATGGGCTTTGTTCGTCGAATTATCGGTTCATCTGGCACATACAAAGACAGACATATATAGAATAGCTTTCAGAATTTACAAATAAATCTGTTATCAATAGAGGCCATGTACACCAAACTCCAATAATACTCATCTGCCTTGTTCTTCTCTTCCAAATGCCTCCTATTTTAAAATATGAACATGACCTTTATGTCTACTCTTCATAGGGTCTCATATACCTGGGGTATTCTAATGCTCTATTATAACTACTATTGTTACATCTCGTAATAATTCGTTCAGCTCTTCTTTGCAGACGCGAAGGGCCTTCGCTCGAAACGAAACGTCGAAATTCTCCTTATATTTTTCAGGTATAACTGCACTTATATACTCAAAGTCAAAGACTCGTTTAAGAATATAACCACCAATACTCACTACAAACTTATTGGCCTTCATTAGTCTAGTACCTAGTACCAAATAAAAACTGACTCACATAACCCATCGTTACTCAAGGCGTTTGCAATTCCTGAGCATCTTTACTGTAAAACATCTGTTTGAATAAACTATGCATGTAAACTATATTAACAAATATAGATAAGATTTTGCCGTTGTCTGTTCAGTTAT